ATGGAGCTCAAAGGCTTTCTCTCTTGCCGGTTATACCACAAGGTGAGTTCCTTTTTATTTCCTGCTTCTTCACACACATGCTCTCCAGTACAGGTTAGCTCTGAGTGTTAGCGATGCTAATGTAAACACCGACCATATTACGTCCAAAACAGTCGGGCATTGTTTCTGATAGCGACGTTTCTGATAGTGCCGTGGGTCCACATTTCAGATATTACGTCATATCGGACGCAAATCTGGATCAGCTCCGTTGTAGCCCCGTTTTTAGAGATTTGGGTACGGAGGAAAAGAGAGAGGGTTTTATTTTCTGACGCTGCGTGAGTTCCCCGACACACCGGGGACACATTTATGTATAAAAGACATCAAAAAGTGCATTTTGCATGATAGGTCCCCTTTAAAGTAGAAACAATATATATTAAGATATTTGTACAAACATAACAAGTTGATGTAAGAAATTGCACATTGTACTATACATAAGATTTATATAACAGTATATAAAGAGGTGTATTATAAGTTATTATTGTGATTCATCAATAATCAAAATCCAGTCATTGAGTTGATATGATTCTGAACAAATGTGTACCTTTTTTACATTTGGTATCACAAATATAGGATTTTTGAATGCGAGACTTTGACTTCTAACCGAGTATTTTTACGCTTTAGTATTACTACTTTTACTTTAAAGTGGACCGATCATGCTATATTGAAAAAATATATTGTAGGGCCATACCTATATAAAGCATGTCTGTGAAGTTATTAGCTTAAAATACCAAACAGATCCCCCATTGGAGCCATGCCTCATACTGCTCAAACCCCTCTATTGAAGCCCTGTTAGAGAAACACGGATTTTGGGTCCTTAGCTTAAAAAAAAGAAAAGAGGAGGCGGAGCTAATGCCTGATCAGAATTCTACCGGAGAGAAAGTTAAATTCTGCTGTGATAAAACGCCATCCTGTTCTAAACCACATCAAGGATTATTTCTGAAACAGTATGGAGCTCAAATGCTTTTTCTCTTGCGGGTTTATCACAAGGTGAGTTCCTTTTTTTATTTCCTGCTTTTTAAACACACATGCTCTCCAGTACAGGTTAGCTCTGAGTGTTAGCGAGGCTTGCTAATGTCAACAAAGACGAGATTACGTCCAAAACACGTCAGGCATTGTTTCTGATAGCAACTCTCTGTGGCTCCACCATCCAAAATTACGTCATATCGGCAGCTCGTTGTGCCCCCGTTTTTAAAAGATTAGGGTACGGAGGAAAAGAGAAAGGGTTTTATTTGCTGACGCTGCGTGAGTTCCCTGACACAACGGGAACACATGTTGATGTATAAAAGACATCAAAAAGTGCATTTTGCATGATAGGTCTCCTTTAATATAAAATCTGTCCTCCACCTCTGCGTTGTGAGAATAAATGCTGCCCTCTGTTGAGAACACACACACTCTGCAATCTGCACTCACATTACTGCAAGGAGTTTAAAGTGTTAATAAAACGGTTTGAATGTAAAACCGATGCCTCCACATGACCTGCATGAACAAAAACACCTTCAGCAGAATATCATGCATTGCTGTGAGTGTATTTGTTACGCCTGCAGGTCTAATTCCCCAGTTATTAAACAATTAAAGGCACAACGTTGACTTTGTTTCACCGTCTTCATATTACAAATTGAGGGGTTTTAGTAGTAAATCTTACAAAGACATAAATAGAAGCATTATCTCATTGTGTTTTAAATAGACAAATGGTTCATTTTTAAATAACTTCTCTCTTTTCTTCTGAAACCAAAGCATGCTCCATCCAGGTGTTTATAATATTGGATGTGGATGGAAACTGAGAAATCAACACAAAGTGACTTAAAGTGTCTTTCAGTTGTAAGAGACACTACATACTGATATACACCTGAACATCAGCAGGAGAGGACTCTTTAAAGTAGAGACACTACATACTGATATACACCTGAACATCAGCAGGAGAGGACTCTTTAAAGTAGAGACACTACATACTGATAATTTACACAAATGTAAAAATAAATATTAAGATAAGAATCTTTCCACTGATTCTCCTTTATATAAACGAACCACAGAATAAAATAGTTTAAAAAAACGTACGTAAACTAAAGCTTAAGTGAAGGATTTTTGTGCACTTTTATGTATTTTATTGAATATTTTCGTGTGTTTCTTTCTTTCTTTTTTTAATCTGTGCGTTCATGTGTTGCTACTCAGATCCTCCGGGAATGGGAGTGGGATTTCCTGCAACCGATCTACGCCCAAACATCTCTGTTGTGCCAGGCTGGACACACACACACACACACACACACACACACACACACACACACACACACACACACACACACACACACACCCCTTTTCCTTCCTCTCCCCTGTCCAGTTAGCAGTGACAGTGAGTGTCCCAAATGTCTCCATCAGGCCTTCTTCATTGACCTATTATTTTTAAACTTGTGTATATAAGAAAATAACACATAAATAATTTAGCCAAATAAAAAATTAATAGATCAATAATACAAATTAAATAACATTATGAAATATGGTCAAAGAGGACAAACATTTGCATAATTATAACAATAATTATTTTAACATATTTCTAAACCTAAAGTCTGCAAACACTCCTGCTGCTGCGTGTCACATGCTCATCCTTACACCACACAGGCAACAACAACGTTAACAAACCATTAGGAAATAAACAACTTATTTTGTCAAATTATCTCCAAAACTGCTCATAAAGTTTTGTCAAAGTGACCAAAACTTGATTATATATTTGCATCAAAGTCTATTTTCCATCTGAAGAAATTAAATACATTTGCACAAAGTATTATAAATCAAACAATTTGTCAGTTTTTCCATCGTGTTGATTAAAAAAACACTCACCTCTGGTTGTGTTTTTCACTCCGTGTGCGTCAGTCCACGTTCTCTTCATTTGAGCGAAGATGTTTCTGTTGATGTGAGTTATAGGGAGTGGATTCAACTTCCTGTATCTCTCTGATTGGCCGTGAAGAGAGGGCCCTGGGGTGTGTGTGTGTGGCACAGTCTGTGATTTCATTTGCTTTCGCTACACTGCTGTGGTTTTCCTGTGACATGCTCTCTACACGATGCACACTGCTGCTGCAAACAACCACAAAAACACATTTAAAGTCAAGACGTAATGTGCTTTTGCTAGATTTCTATTCAAACTAGATCGATAGACACTTCATTGATCCCAAATTGGGAAGTTCTTGTGTTACAGGAGCAGCAGTGTGTTCAGGAAACTATGATAAAACCACTCTCTCCATAGTCACGGTTTCATGTGAATATCCCTTTTTTCTTTGCAAATTGTGCACATTTTTTATTCCCAAACAGTACATTTCCTCTCCGTAAGGGGCACATATTTAGATCCATTAACCTGGATATTTCCAATCGATGCTACCTTTTACAATTGCCTTTCTATTTAGATGTTACTGCACTCCATTCATCTGACAGCTTTGATTCCTTTGCAGACAAACACGTTATGCATGAGACACGTGATGAACTCATAAGACTTGTGCATCACATGTTTTATACAAATAGAGCACAGGAATGTGCTTTTTCACAGATGAATGCATCATACATTCAAGGCTATATATTAATGTACTGTCATTGTGCTACACAGGGCTACATGCAGACAGTTGTAGTCACTTCACGCTACATGAGGTTATTCAATTTCCCAAAAGAGACGCTATTATGCACATTTTCAGGTTGACACTAGTATGTAGTGTCTCTACTTTAAAGAGTCCTCTCCTGCTGATGTTCAGGTGTATATCAGTATGTAGTGTCTCTACTTTAAAGAGTCCTCTCCTGCTGATGTTCAGGTGTATATCAGTATGTAGTGTCTCTACTGTGACATGTCTCCATGCTTTAATGTTCAAAAAGCTCTTTATTTTTCTCATACTACCTCTTGTCACCCTCTGTCTGAAACCAGAGTCCAGTCTGCTCTGATTGGTTAGCTGGCAGGCTTGTGATTGGCCAACCGCTGTTTTTATGTAAATTGGTTTTAGTGTGTGCTGTCGAGATGGTATATGATGAATTTCAACATACATCTTTTTTATAATTGCAGATGTTGCACATGCTCACCAAAGACATTTTTCTGTCTATATTATTTTCTGTTCTATCTACACTATACCATATTAATTCAAGCAACATCTTTGTTAATAGATGTATGAAATATCTAACTACAATGGCTTCACTGTGATGGTGAATGCCGTTTTCTTGCAGTTCCCCTTTGCTCCACTTGGGGCCGCTGTGTTTGCAAGTTGAGGGTTTCCTCAGTCAAAGACACTTTACTTCACAAGAGATATATCTGACTCGGTCAAATCGTTTAAAACAAACGCGAGCAAATCGTACTTTTCAACACTGCTACAGCTAAATAATTTATATTTCGAGTGTCATAAAACAGTATATTTATCAACTATTTTAATATAAGAAATGTTAGCTTTTTAAAAATAGTTTGAGGTATAAATTGAAGACGATAGTCCGTGGTGGGGAATCATCTTGATCACAGTGGGTCATCTTTGGCTGAACATCGGATACAAACTGTTGGTAATTATCTTTAGCTGCTGTTAGCTTCAAATATCGCAGTTTGTGTCGCACTTTGAACACAAACTGACTATCTTTGCTGCTAAACTATCTTGCTAACATTGCTAAGCGTGGTTCGGCTAATCTATGAGTTGCAGTTCCTCTTTGCACCTCTATGGGCCGCTGTGTTTGCGAGTTGGGGGGTTTCCTCAGCCAAAGACAGTTTACTGAATAAGAGATACATCTGACTTTGTGGCAAATCGTGACAAACCCGAGCAAATTCTATGTTTCAACACCTCAACCACAAAATATTCTATATTTCCAGTATCTTATAACAGTGGAGTATATGTACCAACAATTAAAACCGTAGAAATGTAATCCTCTTAAATATATTGCGGCGTCAAGACGAAGATGACGATCCGCTGTGAGGGGTATCATCTTGATCACAGCGAGTCATCTTTGGCTGAACATCAGATAAACTGTTGGTATTTAGCTTTAGCTGCTGTTAGCTTCAAATATAAACAGTCGCCGTTTGTGTCGCACTTTAAACAGAAACTAACTATCTTCACTGCTAAACCATCTTGCTAACATATCTAAGCGTGGTTCAGCTAACCTATAATACATGAATGTGTTCGTTATTATGATATTATTGTTACATAACATGGCGGTAAGCTGTTGATGTAGAAACACAGTCTGTTGTTTTTAACTTATCACGCCTGTTTCAGTACTTTCATTAGTCGTGTTTTTACAATGGGAGTCAGAAGGATTTACATTAGCTTAGCTTATGCTACATTCGGGACCTTGGTTGGACTCTCGGCTTTCCTGGTCTGGAACATCGCCTACAAACAGCCGTGGACCGCAGCCATGGGAGGCCTGTCAGGTCTGTTTACATGTCTTTAAACACTCCTTATTAACAGGTTTTACTGTCATATTAAATATTTAGTTAGATAGATTGAAAGACACTTCATTATCCCAAATTGTGAAATGTATTTTTGTCACAGCAGCAGTGTTGTCAAGCATTACACACGAGATACACATCTTTAAAAGTCACAATAAGATACAAATATAATACAATTAACATTAGCAGCAAAAATATACACATATGTACATAATACAAAAAATACTGAATACATTGAATATTCTACATTATACAATCTCACTAAGCTACAGAAATATATAGAAATATACTCCAGACATGTACTGGCATTGGATTATATTAATATACATTACAATTGTGCAAAGTAGCTGTTTATGGGATCTTTACATTATATGTTATAGCTTTAAAAACTCATGGCTGCCTATGTATTAGGTACAGTGTTGTAATAATTATTCAGATCCTCAAATACCATGGCACAGTATTCATAATACTCCACACTAAATCCTGATTTCAAAATGTTACTGTCCACTACATTTCAGAGGTGAAGTGTACTTTTTCCTGAACCTCATTTATTTAACACTAGTTACTTTTCTACATATAAAAACACATGATATGCTATAATATAATGCAGTACTGTAATACTTCAAGTATCTACATTTGGCCCATGTTGACAAACTACAACACTAACATGCTCTTCGTTGTTTAGTATAACCAGTGGTGTATAGTAACTAAGTACATTTACTCAAGTACTGTACTTGAGTATAAGGTACTTGTACTTTACTTGAGTATTTCCATGTTATATCACATATATACACTAACCCTTAGTGTACCTGCACTTAAACAGAGTGCAGGTACACTAAGCTTAAGTGTGTACTTCCAATCCACTACAGTTCAGAGGTAAATGGTGTACTTTTCCTCCACTACATGTATTTAATACCTTTAGTTACTTTACAGATCTGGATGAATGATGTGAAATATAATCAAGTGTTAAATCAGACTTTAGTTCCACCTGGAGTAAATCCACAAGCTACTCTGCAGTATACAAAGTCGTTCAAACTAGCTGCACCTTTACCAGCTTTGAGAACACTTTCATGATCAATCATTATAAAACATATCATATATATTATTCTGAAATGGACCAATCTGCACAATCACTACTTTTACTGTCGCTACTTTCACTATATTTTGATGATCATACTTTTCTACTTTTACTTGAGGAACATTTTGAATGCAGGACTTTTACTGAAACAGAGTATTCCTACACTCTGGTACTTTTACTTTTACTCAAGTACAAGATCTGAGTACTTCTACTTTTACTCAAGTACAATATCTGAGTACTTCTACTTTTACTCAAGTACAAGATCTGAGTACTTCTACTTTTACTCAAGTACAAGATCTGAGTACTTCTACTTTTACTCAAGTACAAGATCTGAGTACTTCTACTTTTACTCAAGTACAAGATCTGAGTACTTCTACTTTTACTCAAGTACAAGATCTGAGTACTTCTACTTTTACTCAAGTACAAGATCTGAGTACTTCTACTTTTACTCAAGTACAATATCTGAGTACTTCTACTTTTACTCAAGTACAAGATCTGAGTACTTCTACTTTTACTCAAGTACAATATCTGAGTACTTCTACTTTTACTCAAGTACAATATCTGAGTACTTCTACTTTTACTCAAGTACAAGATCTGAGTGCTTCTACTTTTACTCAAGTACAAGATCTGAGTACTTCTACTTTTACTCAAGTACCAGATCTGAGTACTTCTACTTTTACTCAAGTACAAGATCTGAATACTTCTACTTTTACTCAAGTACAAGATCTGAGTACTTCTACTTTTACTCAAGTACAAGATCTGAGTACTTCTACTTTTACTCAAGTACAAGATCTGAGTACTTCTACTTTTACTCAAGTACAAGATCTGAATACTTCTACTTTTACTCAAGTACAAGATCTGAGTACTTCTACTTTTACTCAAGTACAAGATCTGAATACTTCTACTTTTACTCAAGTACCAGATCTGAGTACTTCTACTTTTACTCAAGTACCAGATCTGAGTACTTCTACTTTTACTCAAGTACCAGATCTGAGTATTTCTACTTTTACTCAAGTACAAGATCTGAGTACTTCTCCCACCTATGGATAGCAGTGATAGGCGTAAAACAATGCTCTGTTTCACACACATTATTCTGAAATGGACCAATCTGCACAATGACTACTTTTACTTTGGTACTTTAACTATATTTTGATGAGAATATTTCACTATTTTCTGACCAATACCAACTAAACAATGAATTGAGAAAAAACTCTGCCGATTATTTTCATGAAAGTTAGTTAGTTAGGTTGATAGAAATGTTTAATATCATGTGATTTGTTAACTTGTGATCCACTGAATGAAACTGTGTGTGTGTGGACAGGTGTCATGGCGTTCTGGTGTCTCGTCACACACGTCATGTACCTGCAGGATTTCTGGCGCACGTGGCTCAAAGGTCTGAAGTTCTTCATCGCTGTCGGCGTGATTTTCTCGATGTTGGCGGTCGCCGGCTTCATCACCTTCCTCACGCTCGCCATCACTCAGAAACAAAGTAATCCTCTCTCTACTCTTTACACCGTGCTTATAGAAAGTCATCATACCCTGTGAACATCTGGGTATGATGACTTTCCATAGGCACTGTAACTATTCAAATATATATTCAGCGTTCAGTGCGTAGGGTTGCCAATTTCAGAATATATTCCAGTCTGCTCTGATTGGTTAGCTGGCCAGCTCTGTTGTGATTGGTCAAGCGCTTAGAGATGTCCCGCCCCTTAGCCTATCACGTACAACATGTTGGAGTGCTAGCCAATAGGAGCGCGAGTGATACACAGTGATGTCACAGGAAGTAAACGAAGGATTGTGTTGGAGAGAAACTCCCATAAAAAGCACAATAAGGCCCTTTTTAAGAATTGAAACTGTCACACTAAGCTTAATGAGATAAGATGGAACTTTTTTTAATTACAGCAACAGTGTCAGAATGAAACACAGGATTCCCACAGGGTAAAGATAAAATAGAATACAAATTAAATTAATAATACAGCAAAAATGAAGGAACTATTGAAACAAGATATCACAGTAGAAAGTTGTGCATTTGTATGAACATGTTTACATAAGTGTGCAGATGAGAGTGCAGGTTAATATAATGATTATATGATGGATTATAAGTGTTGTTTTGTGTCCCCCAGCCCCCACGGACCCCCGCAGCCTCTACCTGTCCAGCGTCTGGAGCTTCCTCACCTTCAAGTGGTCCTTCCTCCTCGCCCTGTACTCCTACAGATACCGGCAGGAGTTCGCTGACATCAGCATCCTCAGCGACTTCTAGTGCAGAGGACTTCTTTTTACAGACTGCCATGGACTCGGAGAGGGTTTAAAAAAAAAAGGTCAAAGAGCTTTTGGATCAAAGCAGAGGATTGAAGTCACACACACTTGCTTAACAAGCTGTGTGTGTGTGTGTTTGTGTTGTTTCCTGTTCTCCCACTTCAATAGAGTGCCACAGTGACGCGTCCTAAAACACGGAAGTAAACTCCTTCCGGTTCCTTCGACAAAAACGCAATGCAATTTCTCCATAGGATTTAGGAAAATAGCTGGAGATAAGGTCTGTGGTTGAGACACATTGAAGAGACGGATCACGTTTTGTTCAGCCGGATAATCTCCACATGTCTACCCTACTTTTATCATTTTCGAATCATAAATCTAGTCGCCAGAAGCAAAATGCTAACGTTATGCTATAAACGAACTACAGCCGAGTCCAGCAGCACGACTTCAACGTCACGCCAACTTAAGATCCATATTCAAACACACAGACTCTAAATGGTACGAGTTGAAGCGTTTGTTTGAACACTTTGCAGGAGGCAGGTACTTGCTTTCAAGCAGAACAGGGCTAACTAATTTAGAGGAGTGTTTACGTGTTCGGCGTAATGATGTACAACGGCCTCCACAACTTCTGTAGTCCTATTCAGCCACTTGGTAACAACCATCGTTTCTCAGACACGTCAACTCTTCAGAAATCACCAGTGGGGTCACTGCTGATGGATTTAATGTCGTAGAACAAAACGTGATCCGTCTCTTCAATGTGTCTCAAAACCACAGACCTTATTTCCAGATATTTTCCTAAATGGAGAAATCAAATCCCATTGGCTCTGAGACGAGGGAACAGGAAGTGGTAACATGCTAACTCACTTCTGGGTTTTAGGACTGTGGCAGTTAACTGACAAACGTTATATTCCTGTAAGTAGATTAACCTCTGAAGACTGCTTCTGAGTTACGAATGTGGACCGACTCGTTCTAAGAGATTATTTACTCTTTAAACTATGGAGGTAGATTCGTCTGAATATGATGTGTGTGTGAACAGATCAATAACCTGTGTAACACTCTTTAAAGAAATGCAAAAAAGGATTTTAAACTCTCAAAAAAAGTGAAAATGCAAAACGAGCTTCAAACAAATGCCACAAAAAAAAATCTGTAAATACTCAAATTAATTTACAAATAAACGAAAAGCATTTGTAAATATATTTTTTATATTTTTAAGTTTGTAAAAGCTGATCTACAAACACAGATTTAAAATCCACAAATTCAAACTGCATTCACAACTCAGGGTTTTGTCTAAGCCGTGCTACCAGATGCACATGTTCCCCGTAAAATGTCAAAGTGATGCCGGAAAACAATATTTCTGTTCGTTAAAAAAAGTATAATTACTCAAGAAATCTGAGAATCAAACGGAGCGTCAGACGTTGTTGTTTACGAGAATTGATACATCTTATAAACAAGATCAGCGCCGCAGTATCACCTCATAGATGAGAGTAACACTTACGTCACTTCCGGGCGAAAATTACGGCCCCGCCCACTTTTGGGGGAAATCAACGCTGTCATTTGAATGGCGGTCGATACAAATAAAGAAGTTTTTGCCAATCCGATCAGAATTTTTTGAAAACCGTGAATTTGTGGATTTTCAAAGAGCCCGGTTACGATGGCCAGTCAGGCAAACAATTACATTCAATCATTGGAAATCGACAATCGGTCTCGATATATGGTTAAATTAAAATCAGTAGGCGAGGCTGTAATCTCGCCGGCTGTTACTCTCAGGAGCGAGGCGGAAAATAATTGTGTTATGCCAAAAAGCTGCTGTGTCGTTCATTGCACCTCAAACATTAAAACAAATCCAGAGTTCAGTGTTTCTGAACTTCCTCTAAGAAGAAAGGACAGTAACAGAAGAGCTCTGTGGCTTCAGGCTTGATCGCCATTTAAATGACAGCGTTGTTTCCTCCAAAAGTGGGCGGGGCCGTAAAGTGACGTAGATGTTCGATAGCCTACTGCTATATTTAACCATATATCGAGCCCGATCGTCGATTTCCAATGATGTAATGTAATTGTTCGCCTGACTGGCCATCGTAATCGGGCTCTTTGAAGATCAGAAAATCCACGGTTTTCTTACATTTCTGATCGGATTGGCAAAAACTTCAGAATGTGTATTGACCGCCATTCAAATGACTGCGTTGTTTTCCCCCAAAAGTGGGCGGGGCCGTAGTTTTTGCTCGGAAGTGACGCATTTGTTACTCATGTATACTGAATTATTCTAGAAAAACACCTGTACAACTGATCAAAGAGTTGTTAATGTAATGAATATATTCACAAATGCTTTTTGTTAAATTGTAAATTAATTATAATATTTACAGAATTTCACTGAAATATTTATGTGAGTTTACAAATCTTTTTTTTGCAATTATGGAAGTTTTTGGTTTACATTTACACTCAGATTATTGATCTGTTCACACAATTCATATCAAGATAAATCTACCTCCATATAAAACATTAAATCCCCACTGTTACAGGTTTTTAATCCAATGTTTCAAATGAAAATAAAAACTCTCAAAGCTTAAATCCTTACAACTAAAACCTGAAGCCTCTCTGCTGATCGCTCTGTCGAATGTTCCTAAATTAGCTTTTTTAACACACTTAAATCACCACGCAGTCAGTTTTACCTTCATCGATGACGCAATTTAAGAAGGCATTTTTTTTAAAGCTTCGATTACCGATATGAATAGTTGCACTCGTATTTAAACCTTTTATTTTGTCCTCCAAAACCTGTTAAAGAAAATGCTTTCCTGTGGGATTGGTGTATTTCCTCATGTGTCCACCAGGGGGCGACATGCCTTTTTCTTTTGGTGTGATTTGGGGGAAAATCATGACATTCCTCATACAAATGAATCTGATAAATGATCGCACTTTAGTCCTGATATTGATGCCATTGTTTTGCACAAAAAAAATCACATGGTCATCCCTGTCTCTCACCCTTTTAAGATGTTTAATTATGATTTGTGTAGTGTGTCAAGCTACTATGTGTGTCTTTTAGCTCCAGCTGTCTACCATAAAACATGTGTAAATGTATTTTCTGTTGATGAGAGTTGATGTCGGGATGCTACGTGTAAATAAAACCCATTAAAGTTGCAATTATTGATAATTAACAACGCTTCGTGTGCTGAAACGTCTCTCTTTCTAAGCTCCACCCTGCAGGGTTTTAAGGGAGATCTTGATAAGTAATAAACCAAAGTAGTCATTACGCACCTGAGCCTAATGCCCGCAGACTCCAACATTAAGGTACAGTAATGCATTTTATCACATCTTAAACTAAAACACAAGCAGAGTGTCTGATACAAACTGATATTGGAATTAAACGGGGTACATTTGGGAGGTTAACTCATGGCTGGAGACACATCTCTGAAACACAATGGCTTTTTATGTGATTAAACAAGAAGATAATTACAAAATGCACATTGAGAACGGTAACCAAAGTAATATCCACTCATTCTCAGCATGTGTGATTTTGTGCAAAGGTGAAGAATGTATTTACTATGCCATGTCTTTATTAATTTTAAAGCTATTTTGTGTAAATGTTTGAATTCTTCAACGAAATTCTTATGAAACCTTGGGAAAGATGGTCCAAAAAAGAACCCATAACACTCAATACATATTTTACTTTCATTAATTTGGGATCCTTTTTACATTCCAACATCTATTTACCTTGAAATTAATTATGATTTTTTTTTGTTCAAGGTTAGAAACTCTAACTTTTGACAATGTCTTCACTCTGACTTCACTGTAAAATGCTCATGTTTTTAAGTGCAGATATATTTAAATAAAATTTAGTTTTTCTTGTGGTACATGAATAGACTTGTTTCTGTCACAGAGTGATTTCATGTGCTTATTTACCTGCTGTTGAGCAAATATTTTTAGCAGTCCACGTTTCTTGTTGGCTGATCCTTCAGACTCCAAGGTTAGATTAAAGGCAACGCTCTTGAAATGTGCCGCCTCAATGTTAAACAAACACAAGTTCAGTCCTAAAGATATTTTAAAGAGGCCCTATTCTGCTCATGTTCAGATGTATATCAGTATGTAGTGTCTCTACTTTAAAGAGTCCTCTCCTGCTGATGTTCAGGTGTATATCAGTATGTAGTGTCTCTACTTTAAAGAGTCCTCTCCTGCTGATGTTCAGGTGTATATCAGTATGTAGTGTCTCTACTTTAAAGAGTCCTCTCCTGCTGATGTTCAGGTGTATATCAGTATGTAGTGTCTCTACTTTAAAGAGTCCTCTCCTGCTGATGTTCAGGTGTATATCAGTATGTAGTGTCTCTACTTTAAAGAGTCCTCTCCTGCTGATGTTCAGGTGTATATCAGTATGTAGTGTCTCTACTTTAAAGAGTCCTCTCCTGCTGATGTTCAGGTGTATATCAGTATGTAGTGTCTCTACTTTAAAGAGTCCTCTCCTGCTGATGTTCAGGTGTATATCAGTATGTAGTGTATCTACTTTAAAGAGTCCTCTCCTGCAGATGTTCAGGTGTATATCAGTATGTAGTGTCTCTACTTTAAAGAGTCCTCTCCTGCTGATGTTCAGGTGTATATCAGTATGTAGTGTCTCTACTTTAAAGAGTCCTCTCCTGCTGATGTTCAGGTGTATATCAGTATGTAGTGTCTCTACTTTAAAGAGTCCTCTCCTGCTGATGTTCAGGTGTATATCAGTATGTAGTGTCTCTACTTTAAAGAGTCCTCTCCTGCTGATGTTCAGGTGTATATCAGTATGTAGTGTATCTACTTTAAAGAGTCCTCTCCTGCAGATGTTCAGGTGTATATCAGTATGTAGTGTCTCTACTTTAAAGAGTCCTCTCCTGCTGATGTTCAGGTGTATATCAGTATGTAGTGTCTCTACTTTAAAGAGTCCTCTCCTGCTGATGTTCAGGTGTATATCAGTATGTAGTGTCTCTACTTTAAAGAGTCCTCTCCTGCTGATGTTCAGGTGTATATCAGTATGTAGTGTCTCTACTTTAAAGAGTCCTCTCCTGCTGATGTTCAGGTGTATATCAGTATGTAGTGTCTCTACTTTAAAGAGTCCTCTCCTGCTGATGTTCAGGTGTATATCAGTATGTAGTGTCTCTACTTTAAAGAGTCCTCTCCTGCTGATGTTCAGGTGTATATCAGTATGTAGTGTCTCTGCTTTAAAGAGTCATCTCCTGCTAATGTTCAGGTGTATATCAGTATGTAGTGTCTCTACTTTAAAGAGTCCTCTCCTGCTGATGTTCAGGTGTATATCAGTATGTAGTGTCTCTACTTTAAAGAGTCCTCTCCTGCTAATGTTCAGGTGTATATCAGTATGTAGTGTCTCTACTTTAAAGAGTCCTCTCCTGCTGATGTTCAGGTGTATATCAGTATGTACTGTCTCTATACTTTAACTCAGGAACACAGGGATTTCAACCTTTGCAGACCATTTACATGCACTAAAATCTATAGAACACACTACAGGAAAGGGAAAACCCCAAAAAGCAGAATAGGGACTCTTTAAATATGTCTAGGGGAAATGTAAATTCTTTAATTGCACCTTGAGGACTTTGAGAGTTTACTGTTGTCTTTTAATATTTCGATTGGCTGCAGCCATGCACAGTCTCCGCCCTCGTTATGTGATTGACAGGCCGGCGTTTAACCTCCCAGACTTTGACCAAGAGTTTGACAAGAAGAGCCGACAGTTCCCCGTCGGAGAGAAGGTGAAGAAGCTCTTCAGGTACAGAAACATGATCACTCTCTCTCTGCACAGCTTCACTTTTTACGCTGCTATGGACAGTCTTGCATTAATGTACATTTTTCAAAGATATTGAAGTGACTGTTATTTTGTATATTGATTGTTGTGCTTATATTTATGTCTTAAAGGGTACCTATCATGCAAAATGCACTTTTTGATGTCTTTTATACATCAACATGTGTCCCCGGTGTGTCAGGGAACTCACGCAGCGTCAGAAAATAAAACCCTCTCTCTTTTCCTCCGTACCCAAATCTCTAAAAACGGGGCTACAACGGAGCTGATCCAGATTTGCGTCCGATATGACGTAATATCTGAAATGTGGACCCACGGCCCTATCAGAAACGTTGCTATCAGAAACAATGCCCGACTGTTTTGGACGTAATATGGTCGGTGTTTACATTAGCATCGCTAACACTCAGAGCTAACCTGTACTGGAGAGCATGTGTGTGAAGAAGCAGGAAATAAAAAGGAACTCACCTTGTGGTATAACCGGCAAGAGAGAAAGCCTTTGAGCTCCATACTGTTTCAGAAATGATCCTTGATAATCCATGATATGGCGTTTCATCACGGCAGCATTTAGTTTAGACAGTAGCTGCCGGGTCCCGCATGAGCTTTATACCCCAAATCAGCACTTTGGAAACAGGAAGTGAAATAGAGGGATATGAGGCATGGCTAGAATGGGTGATCTGTTTGGTATTTTGAGCAAAACACTTCATAGACATGTTTTTTATATATCTGAGACCTATGCTATTGCCTATAAATAGCCTGATAGGTGCACTTTAATGTGTGCATATGTATAAATATGCTGTTGATTGTGTATATATATTTCTGTTTTTGTATTCGGGATTGTGGGAAACGGTATTTCGATCTCTCTGTCTGTGCACACAAACAGAAAGATTGACAATAAAGTTCACTTCGACTCAGAACTCTGACTATTTTCTCAGATTTTGAATATTTATTATTTATTCTGAGGTCTTGAGTTTTTTTCAGATTCATAATTCTTTTTCTCAGATATTTACTTTTTCTCAGAATTCATTTAGAATTTTGAATTTTTTCTCACATTTCTTACTTTTTCCTCGTATTTTTGACTTTCCTAAGATTTTGATTTTTTTTTTTCCGAATTGGATTTTATCTCAGATTTAGAAATTGTTCTCGGAATTCGATTTTTTTTTCAGAAATATATTTTCTCAGATATTAACTTTTGTCTCAGAATTCAGATTTCTGACTTTTTCCTCAGAGTTCCTATTTCAGATTTTTTTCTCAGAATATGATTTTTTTCTCAGAATATGACTTTTCAGGTGTGTTTTCCTGCAGATGCTCGGCTCTCAGACTGCAGGCTCTGCTCTTCAGACTCCTGCCTATTCTCCGCTGGCTCCCAAAATACAAACCGAGAGAGAGTCTTCTGCGGGATGTGGTCAGCGGGATCAGCGCCGGCACCATCCAGGTCCCTCAAGGTCAGAAAACACTCTCTGATGCCTCTGAGTAACACCTATATATATGCCGATATGGGCAATAACAGAGGCTGCTTTTTAGTTTTTATGCACCCCACAAATGGAACAAACGCTGAGTTATTTTAAGTCGAGGCTAAAAACATTACTTTTTTCAGCTGCTTACTTTTTCCTCATATCTTTGACTTTCCTAAGATTTTCATTTTTTTTTCTCCAGAATTCAGATTATTTTCTCAGATTATGACATTTTACTCAGAATTTGATATTTTTTCAGAAATATATTTTTTCTCAGATATTTACTTTTTTGATACTTGTTCGAGTGCTCTTCTGTGTATCTAGTTGCAGTATTGTCTCTCCAGTATATAATATAGTCTTGTTAATATCATGATTTACAGAGGTGGGATGTAGTGGAGTACAAATACTTTGTTACTGTACTTAAGTACATGTTTCTGGTATCAGTACTTTACTCCACTACTTATTTTACTGACCACTTTTTACTTTGACTTCTTACATGTTGAACCCAAATACCTGTACTTTCTACTTCTTACATGTTGAACCCAAATACCTGTACTTTCTACGTCTTACATTTTGAACACAAATACCTGTACTTTCTACTTCTTACATTTTGAACCCAAATACCTGTACTTTCTACGTCTTACATTTTGAACACAAATACCTGTACTTTCTACGTCTTACATTTTGAACACAAATACCTGTACTTTCTACTTCTTACATGTTGAACCCAAATACCTGTACTTTCTACTTCTTACATGTTGAACCCAAATACCTGTACTTTCTACGTCTTACATTTTGAACACAAATACCTGTACTTTCTACTTCTTACATGTTGAACACAAATACCTGTACTTTCTACTTCTTACATGTTGAACACAAATACCTGTACTTTCTACTTCTTACATGTTGAACCCAAATACCTGTACTTTCTACTTCTTACATTTTGAACTCAAATACCTGTACTTTCTACTTCTTACATGTTGAACTCAAATACCTGTACTTTCTACTTCTTACATGTTGAACACAAATACCTGTACTTTCTACTTCTCACATTTTGAACACAAATACCTGTACTTTCTACGTCTTACATTTTGAACACAAATACCTGTACTTTCTACTTCTTACATGTTGAACTCAAATACCTGTACTTTCTACTTCTTACATGTTGAACACAAATACCTGTACTTTCTACTTCTTACATTTTGAACACAAATACCTGTACTTTCTACTTCTCACATTTTGAACACAAATACCTGTACTTTCTACTTCTTACATGTTGAACTCAAATACCTGTACTTTCTACTTCTTACATGTTGAACTCAAATACCTGTACTCTCTACTTCTTACATGTTGAACTCAAATACCTGTACTTTCTACTTCTTACATTTTGAACACAAATACCTGTACTTTCTACTTCTTACATGTTGAACTCAAATACCTGTACTTTCTACTTCTTACATGTTGAACCCAAATACCTGTACTTTCTACTTCTTACATGTTGAACCCAAATACCTGTACTTTCTACTTCTCCTTTAGTTTGAATGTGTGTCTGGTGGCGTGATCATTATTATTTAGAGTCATTGCGTGCCTATTGATTTGAACACGATCCGTGTATCCATCATTTCCTGGTCTTCTCTAAAGAAGAGGGACCAATGAAAACGTTGTCATGTTGCCGTTGTTCAGCATGGAAACATTCATTAGCTAACAATGACATTATTGTTCTATTAATATAAAGGGAGGTCAGGTACTCTTTAAAACAGCTGCTAGTTATGGGTACTTTTTACTGAAGTACATTTCAAAGCCCTCTTTACTTTTACTTGAGTAAAGAAGTTTAGTCAGTACTTCTACTTTCACCAGAGTATTTTTAAACACGAGTATCTGTACTTCTACTTGAGTAAAGGATGTGTGTACTTTTGCCATCTGATGATTGATGTGTTATTAAGAGGCTTCTGTTCCCCCAGGCATGGCCTTCGCCCTCCTGGCTAACCTCCCTCCTGTGAACGGCCTCTACTCCTCCTTCTTCCCCCTCATCCCGTACTTCTTCATGGGCACGGTTCACCAGATGGTCCCCGGTAAATCTCAGAGATTTATTTCCGCACATTTCAAACCATGACAGTGATAAATCTTATATATATATCATATTGTATTTGTATTCATGTATTATATGAATTAAATGAATCTGTGTTCTTAAAATGATGTTCACATTTTTAGCAGTTTGTTTATATGTATGTATTTTGTGTAACTATACAGAGCTTTAGCAATACTATATGTAACTATGGCCATGCTTATAAAGCTATTGAATTGAATTAAATTGATAAAGCTGCAGATCAGCCTGACTGTGCAGAGATAAAGCGGTGACGCCTTCAAATTATCCTAAATCTGGGAATTGAAAAGAAAAGTGTTTTAAAGGTCACAGATGGGTTCAGGTAACAGTAAAACAGGAACATGTGTTGTCTGGGGATGCAACATGATTGAAAGAGAAGGATGAAAGGAATATAAAAAGGTTAGAAAGGTGTCGGAAGAACTATCATTTCACAGGAAGAGTAGGGGTCGAGGAATGAGAGAACTTGGTGAGGGGTATTGTCAAACATCTGGAACAAACCCCCAGAAACCTGCAGGTCCGCTGCAACTCTGACTACTTTGAAATCCAGGCTGAAGACTTTTCTTAATTGAACTATTCACATCTCACACTGCACTGTACCTGTTATTCATGTACCTGTTATTCAAGTTTTATTATCTTTGCTTTTGAATGTTTCTAATGTGCTCTTAATGTCTCTCATGTTTGTAAAGCACTTTGAATTGCCTTGTGTTGAAAAGTGCTGTATAAATAAACTTGCCTTGCACTTCCTGTGCAGGAACGTTTGCTGTGCTCAGCATCATGGTGGGCATGGTGTGTCTGCATCTGGCTCCAGAGTCAGACTTCAGTCACTTCAACGAGACCCTGAACGCTACAGTGGTCGACACGGAGCAGATGAACGAAGTCCGTCTGGGAATATCTGGAACCCTGGCCTGCCTCACTGCTGTCATACAGGTACTGAAACTACGCTTTACTGCACAGAAGGCAGAGAGGGTAAAAGTACACGCATCCTTTACTCAAGTAGAAGTACAGATACTCGTGTTTAAAAATACTCTGGTGAAAGTAGAAGTACTGACTAAACTTCTTTACTCAAGTAAAAGTAAAGAGGGCTTTGAAATGTACTTCAGTAAAAAGTACCCATAACTAGCAGCTGTTTTAAAGAGTACCTGACCTCCCTTTATATTAATAGAACAATAATGTCATTGTTAGCTAATGAATGTTTCCATGCTGAACAACGGCAACATGACAACGTTTTCATTGGTCCCTCTTCTTTAGAGAAGAGCAGGAAATGATGGATACACGGATCGTGTTCAAATCAATAGGCACGCAATGACTCTAAATAATAATGATCACGCCACCAAACACACATTCAAACTAAAGGAACCAGCCTGTTTGGGAAATGTGAGAAGTAGAAAGTACAGGTATTTGGGTTCAACATGTAAGAAGTAGAAAGTACAGGTATTTGTGTTCAACATGTAAGAAGTAGAAAGTACAGGTATTTGTGTTCAAAATGTAAGAAGTAGAAAGTACAGGTATTTGAGTTCAACATGTAAGAAGTAGAAAGTACAGGTATTTGGGTTCAACATGTAAGAAGTAGAAAGTACAGGTATTTGGGTTCAACATGTAAGAAGTAGAAAGTACAGGTATTTGGGTTCAACATGTAAGAAGTAGAAAGTACAGGTATTTGGGTTCAACATGTAAGAAGTAGAAAGTACAGGTATTTGGGTTCAACATGTAAGAAGTAGAAAGTACAGGTATTTGGGTTCAACATGTAAGAAGTAGAAAGTACAGGTATTTGGGTTCAACATGTAAGAAGTAGAAAGTGCAGGTATTTGTGTTCAAAATGTAAGAAGTAGAAAGTACAGGTATTTGTGTTCAACATGTAAGAAGTAGAAAGTACAGGTATTTGTGTTCAACATGTAAGAAGTAGAAAGTACAGGTATTTGTGTTCAACATGTAAGAAGTAGAAAGTACAGGTATTTGTGTTCAACATGTAAGAAGTAGAAAGTGCAGGTATTTGGGTTCAACATGTAAGAAGTAGAAAGTACAGGTATTTGTGTTCAACATGTGAGAAGTAGAAAGTACAGGTATTTGTGTTCAACATGTAAGAAGTAGAAAGTACAGGTATTTGTGTTCAACATGTAAGAAGTAGAAAGTGCAGGTATTTGTGTTCAACATGTAAGAAGTAGAAAGTACAGGTATTTGGGTTCAAAATGTAAGAAGTAGAAAGTACAGGTATTTGAGTTCAACATGTAAGAAGTAGAAAGTACAGGTATTTGTGTTCAAAATGTAAGAAGTAGAAAGTACAGGTATTTGAGTTCAACATGTAAGAAGTAGAAAGTACAGGTATTTGTGTTCAACATGTAAGAAGTAGAAAGTGCAGGTATTTGGGTTCAACATGTAAGAAGTAGAAAGTACAGGTATTTGTGTTCAACATGTAAGAAGTAGAAAGTACAGGTATTTGAGTTCAACATGTAAGAAGTAGAAAGTACAGGTATTTGGGTTCAACATGTAAGAAGTAGAAAGTACAGGTATTTGTGTTCAACATGTAAGAAGTAGAAAGTACAGGTATTTGTGTTCAACATGTAAGAAGTAGAAAGTACAGGTATTTGTGTTCAACATGTAAGAAGTAGAAAGTACAGGTATTTGTGTTCAACATGTAAGAAGTAGAAAGTACAGGTATTTGGGTTCAACATGTAAGAAGTAGAAAGTACAGGTATTTGAGTTCAAAATGTAAGAAGTCAAAGTAAAAAGTCGTAGAGGACTGATACCAGAAAAATGTACTTAAGTACATTAACAAAGTATTTGTACTCCACTACTTTCCACCTCTGACAGAAGGGAAATAAAGAAATGTGAGGTACAAGATAAGAAGACCCTTTGTAAATGACCATGGGGACATTCAGACTTCCACTCTGTTATTGTATACACACAGCACAAATACACATGCATACGAACTAAACACACACAAACACTTGTATTTTATTATGGAGCGAAGAGGCTCAAGCTTGCAGTCCACACTTTATATTTGTTTGGTCTGGTCTGGCACTCGAACCAGCAACCCTTCAGTTCCTTCGCCCCTACAGACTGAGCTACTGCTGCTTCCTTTACTCTAGTAAAGGTAGCGATACTAAATTGCAATGGTCGATTGTAAGAAAGGAACATCTGCTTCTCAAGTGCTGTAATTAAGTGCACTTTTAAAGGTACTTGTGTTTTCATTTCATGCTGCTCATACAGAAACAAAACACACATTAATGGTGTGATTTGTTTGCCTTTCGTTGTCACATTAAAAAACACTGAAGCATTAATCGCTGTAAACAACACATAAACACAAACATGAGATTTCCATGCATTACATACAGCTGACTAACGATTAGCATAAACTTAACATTAAATATGCCATTGACAAGCTAACAAGATTAGCATCGCCATTATTTAAGAATGTCCACACATATTTAACAACGGGTTATCTTGATTGTTACAGGTAGGTATTTCATTTGAACATAGCTGATTACTAACAGAGAAGTGCGTCGAGGTTCAACGGGGAAAATAAATAAAAAGAGTAAAAACAACAGCTCAATAAACATTTTTCTGTGCGAATCAATTATAAAGGTGATTTAAATGCAAAGTTAGAAAGAAACGTGAGGTTTTAATAAAAAAATGCCACATTAATAATTCCTTCTCTGTGCAGATCGGCCTGGGCTTCATGCAGTTTGGGTTTGTCGCCATTTATCTGTCCGAGTCGTTCATCCGAGGCTTCATGACGGCTGCAGGCCTTCAGATCCTCATCTCTGTTCTCAAATACATCTTCGGCATCAAAGTGCCGCCCTACAGTGGTCCGCTGGCCGCTATTTATGTAAGTGACTCTTGCAAATCACCTCTTTGCACTGGCTTTTCATTCTAAAGACTGTTAAACACCTGAACTTTTGAAAGAACATCCATAACATTCATCTGTTTGCAACTCGTATATATCAATATTCCAATATATATATATTCTTTGATGCAGACTCTGGTGGATATCTTCCGGGGTCTTCCTGAAACTAATGTGGCCTCGTTGGTGTTTGCGTTGGTCAGCAGCGTCGTGCTGATAGTGGTGAAGGAGCTGAACGCTCGATACCGCCACAAACTGCCCTTCCCCTTCCCCATGGAGATCATTATTGTGAGTGTTACGTGCCGTAGTGGGTGCTGGTGTTTGTGTGTGTGTGTGTGTGTGTGTGTGTGTCTCTCTCCCTCTCCCCCTGATTGTCTCCCTCCAGGTGCAGCCTCTCCCTCAGGTGCTCCCAATCCCCAATCAGGGCCTCCTTAAAGGACCTGAGGAAGGCTGGTCTCTCTCTCCTTCTCCTCTGGCTGCATGTGTGCAGCATGGTGTCTCTGTCTCTGTGTGAGGCCTGTGTTTTTGTTAACTGTTAGGAGAAGTGCTCCAGTGTATCCTTGTGTATTGTTTTAAGTTAGTCACTTTCTTTTTACGAGAAAGTTGTTCTGAGTTACTAGTGATGGCGAGATGAAGCTTTGAAGCTTTGAAGCTTTCCAGCCAATTGGTTCGCAAAAGGGTTCATCTCATGAGGCTTCATCATGGGCTTCATCTGAACCCCCCTGCTGGTCAAAGTGTATAAAACAGGCAGATTTGACATCTCAACAGTGTGCTGTATCTCATACCGAGTTCCCAATGAGTAAAGCCTTATAATAACTATTAACAACGAACATAAAATCATATTTTCATGTTAACAATATTGTATTTATTCCAGTTGAATGATTGTGATTGAAAAGGAGGCTGGTAAACATTGCAAAGAGGGATTTGTATTCCTTAATAATATTCGTAAGCTTCACCATGTTGTAGCCTGAGAAAGGCTAAACCCTATCAAAGAATACATTTATTAACTATATTATCTCATTTAGCTGTAGCTTTTATAAACAAAAAATAAGACGTATTGACGAGTCGTTGAACCAGGGACGCAGCGGTGGAGAGTCAACTGCTTTCCGGCTGAGCCACAGCCCACACACATTTGGCCGTTGTCGAGTATGGCTTTTGTTTTGGAGCAGTTTGTGGCCAATCCTACTGTGTATCAGCTAGCCTGCTGTAGGAAGGTTGACTTGCGGTTAATTGCTGACCACTATAATATCTTTGTCTCCACTGCTCTCGCTAAAAGTGATCTCAAGGCTACTTTGCTAAATGGGCTAGTTGAACAGGGGGTTTTGAGTCTGCCTGATTCAGTGGAATCTCCTGGCACGGTGGCCGGGGCAGCAGTATCTCCTAGTGAAGGCCACGTTGGTGTTACTCCTGGTGTTCAGAGCGCTAGTGCACAGGCAACACCTTTCACCATGCCTCAGTTTGACCCGTTATCGGCCCAGTCCTCTCCTACAGGCTCTAAATTAGATGCCAGAATAAAGGTGCGTGTGGCTCGTCTCCAGTGGGAGAAGGAGGAGCGTGATAGGGATTTTCAGCTCAGGAGGGAGCTGGAGATCAGGAAGTTGGAGGCAGACACTGCTGTCCGGATGCGTCAGTTAGAGCTCCAAGCAGCTGTGGTGGGTGACTCTGCTGTTACACAGTCTGGTCCTGCTGCCTCCTTCGACGTGAGTAGACGCATTTCTTTAGTCCCTGTTTTTCGTGAGTCAGAAGTGGAGACCTACTTTGGTGCATTTGAGCGCATTGCTGTTGCTCTGCGCTGGCCAGAAGATGTGTGGGCCATACTTTTACAGTGCAAGACTTAAAAACTGTGTACCTGAGCGTACAGTAGTTTATTTGAATGAGCAAAAAGTAACTACCCTTCAGCAGGCTGCCACTCTGGCAGATGAATTTGCACTGATACATAAAAGCGTTTTTTCTCAGCGTGATCCACCTCATCGAGATTCTAATCATAAGGTGCGTTCACACCGGAGTACTTTGGAGTACTTTTCCCACAATAGTTCATCAGAACTACGATATATTTGCGTTCACACCAAAAAGCCCCAGGAACTAAAGTAGCTCAATTGAGTTCGTCCGAACCGCTTTTCAGTCCCTGCTCTCTAGCAGGGACTGTCGTGGGAGAAAGTAGTTCGTACGTCTGATTGGCTGTGCGGAATGCAAATCACGCCCGTTTGACTCTGAATTTTTTGTTGTAAGCGGCCATTGTATTTCCTCGCTTCGCAGCACACACGAAGAGATTCCTTTTGTGAAAGAAGTTATTATAGCAACACTAAATAAATCAATTGGAGCGGTGGAGTGATGAGGATGTGTCTGCGCTTCTGGCGATTTACTCGGAGGACGCGAAGCGCCGCATTCAGAAGCTTCTACTGAATGCAGTTTCTGTAGCTCTGCAAAGTTAGCAGACCTGGCAAAGTCATGTCGGGACGACTACCAAGGTAAAATAAAATACATGCACTGCACTGTTTTAATCTGCACAATACTGGTCTTAGATGTACTTTTATTTGCTCAGTAGATCGAGCTAGCCATGCTAGAACTTGCTAACGTTAGGTCCAAGCTGGCTATCAACATCTAGCTAGCTAGCTATTCTCAGCCATGCCCGCTATGAACACGTTTTGACTTGTGAATAAGTGTGCAATGTTCTGTAATTTGCTTCACTAACTCATGGCACTAATCGTGTGTTTCAGGCGAGGTGTTTCTCTCAGGATTAGAAACTAGTTTTCCCCTCCGGGATAAAACGATAATATAACGTTAGCAATTAGCATGCTAGCTGGACATAATGCTACCTCTAACAATACATTAGTTGCTATAATTTCAAGTAATTTGCAACATTCATTCTACATGTTAATGGTAAAAGCTTAAACAGTTGATTACCTGCATGCCACAAAGACTGATGTTCTAATATTTTTGCACATTTAAGTAGAAATGTAATTGAAATTCTATTTATTTTTCCTTTTTTTTATTGATTGTTATAATTGTACTCAGCCATGTTATGTTAGATGTCAATCCACTTACACTGTAACTACTCTGGCCTTGAAAGAAGAAGAAGGTGATATAACTATTAATAAGTAAAAGTAAATCGAAATATGTATTGCATCACCGCTGCTTAGAGTTCATGTACAAGTCATTTGCTTGATAATGAATTGATGCATTGTAGCAATAATTGTAGTCAATATCAAAGAGAGATGTAATTTTGATATTTCAGTCCAAGCTTGATTGGCCCAGCTACCTCAGTATATGTGATGTATAAATAAAAGGATTACATGACAACGGTTTGATCTTCTATCTCAGAGTAAACTGAACTATTAATCAACATTTTGCCTCGTTGTTGCGATTAAACTGATCTTGTATCTTGCATATTTCACCTTAGGAAAGTGGGCACGCGATGACAGCTTCCTTGACACCATCATGGCGATGGACCGCCGTGCCATGGTCAGCAAGGAGAATGAGGACCTGCGTGCCAAGGAGATGCACGACGAACGGCTGCTGCATTCACACAAGGCCCAGGAATCGAGGTGGAGCAACAAAATACCTTTCAGGCTGGGCTTCTGGCAGTGCTAAGAGAGCTGATTAAATCCAACAGGCCTTCAATACAAACATTAAGAAAAACTTGTCGTTGATAAACTGTACAATGACTTGTTGGGAGGCGTGTGGTGCAGTGGTCTGGTATATATATATATTGCCACTGTTATTATATTGTTTTGATACTACTGACACTTATTGATCTGCTGCTGATAAATAAAAGAGAACCTACATGCACGGCACTAGCATCATGACTGTCTTTGTTTAAACCAGCAGCAGTGCAGCGGTACACTGACTAACCTGTGTGTGTGTAACGTAGTTCTTCAGGTGTGCATGCTTAACATGTATGTTAACATGTATGTATACAAAAGTTTTTAAAGAGCTTTCAACCTCATCCCATTGTCTTTAACACACATTTAACATAATATACTCTACACATACACTACAGTATGAGTACTGTTTAGATACTGACATTTAATCTTTGCACTAAGGTGTGTCTGCACTATTGTAATTGTGTCTGTTGACTGGTAAATAAAAGAGAACCAAATGCACTGTACAAAATATCAGCTTTATTGTCAATTTACAATTTCCATGCTGTTCAGATGCCTCTCCACAACGTTGCTTCCAGGCGAATACAGAGGAGTTGAAAAGAGCCCTTGGACATTCGGAAATCTTTGATCCACTGCACATGTTGGCACCATCTCCCACCAGGCCGACGTTCTATTGTTCACCCAGAGTTCCGTAGTATTCGCATATCTGGAACACATACAAAGACACAAATTAGCCCTACATAACTCCATAAATCCTACATTAGATAGTATTAATGTGATTTAATGAACGTACCATTGCTGTTCTTTGGGCGTGATAACGGCCATCATCCTCGGCTGTCCAACGGCGAAACATGTCCATAGCGTGTGCTTTCGTCGTCCAATCCTTTTGTTAAGGCTTCTTAACCGCCTTCGCCTCCGACTCAGCATTTCTATTGCATTTGAATGGTCGATCTGTATTTGTATTTGTGGCTGAGTTATTGGCTCAAATAACTCAGTTACGAAGCTGTATAACACGACCACCAAAACGTCAACTCCATACCGTGTCTGAGGTCGGAAGGTAAACAGAAGCATCCAGCGGAAGCGGAAGTTTTTTTTCTTCTTCTCTCGGTTTTTTAGCGAATTGCAACTTTAAGGTGCATACCGCCACCTACTGTACTCGCCGTGAAGTTGTTTGCAGCCTGCCAGGAAAACCAAAGCAGAAGAAGAAGAAGTGACGTCAGCGGCTCATTTGCCTAATCCACCCCCAGGAACTCATTTTGGTGTGAACGCGATCTGCTTTAGTTCATCAGAACTAAAAGAACTCTCATGAACTAAAGTTCTCAGGAACTACTGTGGGAAAAGTACTTGGTGTGAACACGCCTATAGAGCTCCTGACACATACGTCCCCTGTGCCAGTTTTCCAGTGTCAGATCCCAAGCTAGAAAAGTCTTGTTTTTTTTGTCATGACCGTGGTCATTTGATAGCAGACTGTGCAGCTTGGAAGCGAAAGCAGGCAGCAGATAGCAAGCACCCAAAAGGGGTGGGTTTGATTAACACAGTGTGTCCTAGTGGGCCACTGTTAACAAAGGGCCTGATGAGTGTTTGAAACCGTTCATCTCTACTGCCTTTGTCTCTCTGTCAGGAAAGGTGGAGGACCAGCGGCAGGTCACGGTGTTGCGAGACAGTGGTGGCTCACAGTCATTCATCCTTGCCAGTGCCCTGCCATTGAAATGGGTTTTGTGCCCGCACCTCTTCACAATATCCATGTCCAGTCTAAACTGGCTACTGGTTTCTTTCCAGTTGCTGTGCTCCCCAAATTTCCTGACGGTGTGGAATGTCATAAGGCGCTTTCACACCGCAGTACTTTTCCCACAAAGGTTCATCAGAACTTAGTTCATGAGAACTCTTTAGTTCTAAGTGAACTAATTACAGATCGCGTTCACACCGGAATAAGTTCCTGGGGGAGGATTAGGCAAATGAAGCCGCTGACGTCACTTCTTCTTCTTCTGCTTTGGGTTTACTGGCAGGCCGCAAACAACTTCACGGCGTATACTGCCACCCGGAGTCCCCGGCCTGAAGTCCCCGAGTAAATCGCCAGAACGCCGACACCTCCTCATCTCCACCGCTCCCATGTTTTCTTTTGTGTTGCCATAAGTTAGTCTTTCTGCGTTTGTGTGCTGGGCTAATGCTAATGCTAATAATGCTAATGCGACGATAATAAAATGGCGGCTTCACAAAACGTTTTGGGAGTTTTACGGGGCGTGGTTTGCATTCCGCCCAGCCAATCAGAAATAGGAACCTTTTTCTCCCACGAAAGTCCCTGCTCTCTAGCAGGGACGGAAAAGGGGGTAAAAAGGTTCTCATTAACTAATTTTAGTTCCGGATTTTTTTGGTGTGAACGCGACATTTCGGAACTATATCGGAACTAAAGTGGGAAAAGTACTGCGGTGTGAACACGCCTATAATGGGTAATGATATAGCCGGAGGTAAAGTGTATCCTCAGAGTAATTATCCTCACTGTAGAGCTCGTAACAGGCGTGTCGCACGTGCTCATTCTGTTTCTCTCCCAGGTCCCAACACTAAGAGATTGTGTTTCTCTTGTCTTGACCCTGGTCATTTAGTGGCATTGAGTGTGTGGCTTGGAAGCAGCAGGTGGCAGCTTCCAAGCATTCAATAGTATGTTTGTGTAATGTGTGTGTTTTGGTAACTGTGGCCAAACACTTGTTTGTTTTTATGGAGGGGGGTGTTACGTGCCGTAGTGGGTGCTGGTGTTTGTGTGTGTGTGTGTGTGTGTCTCTCTCCCTCTCCCCCTGATTGTCTCCCTCCAGGTGCAGCCTCTCCTCCAGGTGCTCCCAATCCCCAATCAGGGCCTCCATAAAGGACCTGAGGAAGGCTGCAGTCGCTCTCTCTCCTTCTCCTCTGGCTGCATGTGTGCAGCATGGTGTCTCTGTCTCTGGCCGTTTCTCAATGTCGAGTATACCTGCTGCAGAGCCACTATTTCAAGTATACTACGTCATCGAGTGGCGCCGAAGGACTGTTTAAATGCATGTTAAATGCCCAGCATTCGGTGCCACTCAATGACGTAGTATACTAGAAATAGTGGCTCTGCAGCAGGTATACTCGACATTGAGAAACGGCCTCTGTCTCTGTGTGAGGCCTGTGTTTTTGTTAACTGTTAGGAGAAGTGCTCCAGCGTATCCTTGTGTATTGTTTTAAGTTAGTCACTTTCTTTTATGAGAAAGTTGTTCTGAGTTACCTTAAGTTTGTTTTGCAAATTGGCCCTAGTGAGCCCTCTTTTTCTTTTGATTATTAAACATCACCTTGTGGCTTCAGCAATCAGTTTCCTCTCCTCTTTTCTCTCACCCGGTTATTTTATATTTTTGCTACCCCTAGTCCAGGAGGGAACGTAACAGTGAGTATTTTGGATTTCACTTTTTCTCAATTTTTTTTAATTTTTTGTATCAGAATTCTAACTTTTCAGGATTCAGATTTTTTTTTAGGATTCTGACTTTGTCTCAGGATTTTCCTTTTTTTGGATTTTTACTTTATTCTCAGATTTGAACTATTTTCTCAGCTTTTGAATATTTTTTTCAGATTTTGATCTTTAATCACATATTGACTATTATTCTCAGGTCTTGAGTTTCTGACTATTTCTCATATTTCTGACTTTTTCTCATATTTCTTACTTTTTTCTAATTTCTTCTCATATTTTTGACTTTTCTAAGATTTGGATATTTGTTCACATATTCTTTTCATATTTTGACATTTTTCTCGAATTCAGATTCTTTCTCAGATTTAGACTTTTTTTTCAGATAATTACTTTTTTCTCAGTATTAGATTCCTAACCCTTTAGGAAATAGATTTATTTTCTCAGATATTGACTTTTTTTCTGAGAATTCAGATTTCTGACTTTTTTTCTCATATTTTGATTTTTTCTCAGATTTCGGCCTTTTTTTCTCATATTTATTACTTTTTTCTCGTCTTAATTTTTTCTAAGATTTTTTACTCTTCTAAGATTTAGATTTATTTTCCAGTTTTTTTTTCAGATTTTGAAATTTTTCTGAGAATTCAGACTTTTTTCACATATTTTGACTTTTTTTCAAAAAAAATCTTCATCTGAGAACAAAGGCAAAAAAATCAATAGCCGCTTTCACACCAAGTACTGGGACTCCCAGCAGCTTCTACTGAAGCCTTCCGAGTAAATCGCCAGAACGCCGACACCTCCTCATCACTCCACCACTCCCATGTTTTTTTTTGTGTTGCCATAAATTATTCTCTCTCCGTTGGTGCGTGGGGCTAATGCTAATGCTAATAATGCTAATGCAAGCAAATACAATGGCGGCTTCACAAAACGTTTCAGAGTTTTACGGGGCGTGCTTTGCAATTCGCCCAGCCAATCCGAAATTGGTACTTTTTTCTCCCCAGGAAAGTACCACCTCTCTAGCAGGGACTAAAAAGGGGGTAAAAGTTCTCGGAACTAAGTTCTCTTTTTGGTGTGAACTCAACATTACAGGCACTATCTAAACTAACTAAACGGGAAAAGTACGGGTAAAAGTACTCCGGTGTGAAAGCGCCTAATATACTTCTACATTGTGAAGCTAGAAAAAGTAGTTTAAAGTTTGTGTAAGAGGGATAGTTACTTATTTGATTGTGTGCTTGCCAAAGATATGTAATCTGCTAGTCTACTGAATGTACCTGCACCCTTTCTTGCTTGTAACACTTTGGTGTGACAAACTAAGGATTTCTGATCCATGTTCCTGTTGCAGGTGGTCGTTGCCACGGCGATCTCCGGCCCTCTGCATCTTCCTGAGAAATATCACATGGATGTAGTGGGAGAAATCCCTCTGGGGTAAAGCATACATCATCAAACTTAAATTAAAGAATCAATGGATGCATCTTCTATTAAATGACTTGTGCAGCTCATATTCACTGCAGATTCTGGGTTTTTTCGGATATTTTGACTTTTGTTTTTAGATTATTACTTTTTTCTCAGATTTCGATTTTTTTAAATGAGAATTCGATTTTTTTCCAAAATAGATTTATTTTCTTATATATTGACTTTTTTTCTCAGAATTCATATTTTGGACTTTTTTCTAATATTTTGACTTTTTCTCAGAATTAGTTTTTTTCTTCAGAAATATATATTTTTTCTCTGATATTGAATTTGTTCTTATTTAACTCATATTTACTGCAGATGTTTCTTTGTTTTGCAGGTTCCCAGCCCCCATCCTCCCTAAAGTGGGTCAGTGGGAGGAGATGCTGGGCACGGCCTTCTCTCTCGCTGTGGTCGGGTACGTCATTAATCTCGCCATGGGACGCACTCTGGCTGCAAAGCACGGATATGACGTGGACCCCAACCAGGTGGGATAACTACTACTCATTAAATGAAATCAAACTTTATTAATGTTGCACTCAAAAGAAGTGCCTCACAAACAAAAAATTACCCGTCCCCCAAAACTCCCCATTGCCAGGTAATAAATAACTAATCAATGATCACGTGATCGATAAACACACTTAAAACCGAAGAGAAATCAATAAACATAGGTCTGAATCAAATAAGAATACAAAATAAGAATACAAAATAAGAATACCATTTTTTTTTTAAAACAATAATAAAAAATAATTTAAAATAGTAAAATAAGAATAAAACAATCATTTAAAATAAGAATAAAAAACAATTTAAAATAAGAATAACAAAATGGTAAAATAAGAATAAAATACAAATAAAAAAATAAGAATAAAATACAAATAAAAAAATAAGAATAAAAAACTATTTAAAATAAGAATACAAAAATATAATAAAATGATAATGAATTTTTTTTTTTTATAATAAAAACAATTCGATTAAAAGCCATCTATCTCTCTGAACCCCAAAGCTACAAGTTCCATATGTGTGTTTATTTTAATATTTGTGAACACATCTTGCGTGTTGCTGAGCAGGAGATGCTGGCTCTGGGCTGCAGTAACTTCCTGGGCTCCTTCTTTAAGATCCATGTGATCTGCTGCGCTCTCTCTGTGACGCTGGCTGTGGACAGTGCAGGGGGAACATCACAGGTGATTCATTATAATAAATACATATATGTACAATGTATATATGGTGAATGACAGACTCTGTGACCCTTTTCCAACTTATTATTCTTCTTGCATGCAGAATAATGCATCTTTTCAAGCGATACAAATGACTGTTGAGTTAAATATACACACCTTTGTTTGGTCAACAGAGTGTATGGAATTAGATTCATAACTACTGTATGTGAAAATGTCTTTCTATGCTAAGAGCTACTAAAATACTGTATGTTAAAGTCTGGTGACTTCGAAACTAGTTACTCTACTCCATGGAGGACCTTTACTCCCAGCGGCTCAGGAAGAAATCACTACGGATTATCAAAGACCCCCATCACCCCAGCCACAAACTGTTCTTTCTGTTGCCGTCTGGCAGACGTTACCGCAGCATCCTGGCAAGGACAAGAAGATTCGGAGACAGTTTCTTCCCGCGGGCAGTGAGACTGTTAAACAATTGAACTGTTGAAACAACTTCAAAACATTCATCTGCTACTCAGTATTATGTATCTAATACCTAATATATATATATCATTCCAATAACTTGTATATAGACTCGTACTGCACTATTCCACATCATCACTTTATTATAACTATTTTTCTTTTTGTATTGCTCTTGCTCTTATTGTTATTATGTTATTATGTTGCATTGTTGGAGAAGCCTGTGACATAATATTTTCAACTACATAATTACTCTGTAGCTATGTCAGATTGACAATAAAGAACCTTGAACCTTGAACCTCTACTTTGTAATCAAAGTACTAAATTGTGCTTTCCACATATTTGTCGACATATAGTTAAGGTAAATTATATCTCAGGTTACTTTAAGGTGTTTTCTTGGTTGTAAATGTTTATTTTTACATAGATTTTAAATTCCATTTCAGCATTTTGTCTTATTGTATTTGAACTCTAACTGTTTGTGAATAAACTGAACTTGAGGTCAGGTATTGTGTGTATTTCCTGACAGAAAGCATGCACTATAAGACCATCACAGCTGCTAACCTCTGCTCCTGCGTCTCTCCTCTCTCAGTTTGCCAGTCTGTGTGTGATGCTGGTTGTCATGGTGACCATGCTCTCACTGGGAGCCTTCCTGAAGCCTCTTCCCAAGGTAAGAGCACAGAGGAGCAAGATAACATTTTGACATCTTGTAGATTGTTGCTTTTATTATAGAAATGTATTTATTAGGATAAACCCCCTCTGGTTTTCAAGGGGGTCCCGACAAAAGCAACGTCTTACAGACATACTTGAACAAAATAACAGAAAGCAAAGCATGACAAACCACGTACAGTCTGTTAAATACATTCATGAAGTAATACAAACAATCAGTTTGATAGACAGCAGTGTCTAATAGATCAGTTTCATCAATAACAAGAGCAGCTTGTACTTGTTTTATGGTGTGTGAGTTTATTTGACTGTACAGCACTTTGGTCTGGAGGTTTTAAAGTGCTTTATAAATACAGCTGTATTGTATTGTGTAACTGACAGATGACATGGATAAATAAGATAAGAAAACAAAAATACAATAGCATAATAATAGAACTGTACACTAACAGTGCAGTTAAAATAGCAATTAAATAACTACAAGACACATAGACAGTCAAATAATGAATGTAACAAACTGTACAGAGACGAGCAGTATTGAATAGTGCAAAAAAACGTAGTGGCAATTGCACGTTATCATAGAACATTATTAATAATATTGCACGTGTTATATAGCAGAGTGTTTTGTAATGATGGTAAAGGTAAGATAAAGATGAATGTATGCATACTGACAGGTGTTTGTTTCTCAGTCGGTGCTCGGAGCTCTAATAGCAGTGAATCTGAAGAACACTCTGCTGCAGCTTTCTGATCCGTACTACTTGTGGAAGAAGAGCAGACTGGACTGTGTGAGTGAAAGCCTCAGATGCAATACATTCAAGATTCAAGGCGTTTATTGTCATTTGTAAATAGCTACAGTGTAGATATGACAATGACATTCTTAGGTCACAGGCTCTTCCAACAGGGCAACACAATAACACAGATACAAGTAAATACAATAAAAAAGAATATTATAGAAATTGTGCAGAATAGTCTATATGCAGTAATTGGAATATTGATATATATGAGTTGCAAACAGACGAAAGTTATGGATGTTCTTTCAAAAGTGCAGGTGTTTAACAGTCGTATGGCCTGTGGGATGAAACTGCATAATATTGCAGCACAATAAGATTATCCATATGCAGTGGCGGCTGGTGGAAAATATTTTAGGTGGGGCTGTGGAAATGGTGATCAAACAATACTAGGGGGCATTTTTTTGAGAAAAGACCCCCTAAATTATAACTTCTGGTGATGTTAGAGGGGGGGAGGGGGGGAAGGACAATTTGAGGCTTAAAAATATGAGAAGACTGATCAATACCTCCATAACTTCAGTGTGGTTAGCTATGAATCTTCCAAAACATCCAAACACCTTGTCCTGGACATAGTTTCTACAGCATAAACTGTGCTAACAAGCTGAGATTCCACAGATTCTAGAAATATAAGTATCATCACTGAGCGATCAGAACTCGCGACAGGGGAAGCAAATACAGACATCACACGACGTAGCTTTAGGTAGCAAAACATGGAGATATGCTCACCTTTTGCAGAATAACAATTCTGATCAAAAACGAGAAAAACGCAGCTGAAGGTTAATCCATAGGTTAATCCAATGTGTCTGTCACTTTGAAAAATGATTGATGATCCATAATTCCATTTTTATGTCAAAAACTGAGTTTTCATTAGCTGCTAATGGTAGCTTCCAGAGTGTATGACAGCTTCCTGTTTTGTCTCCTTGGATACGAGTCCAAACAACTCACAGACTGCACCGGGCGCTCACGTAGGAGCCCTGTGACCATCATATTTGACGACGCTGATTGGCTGAAATTATGTTTCGGCGGCATAGTTTAAAGATAGCAACAGTTGGCTTCTGCTGCACTTGCTGCACTCTCATCTGGGCGCTGTGCTAGCGCCCAGGCGAGAGAGAGTAATGATACACGGGCAAGGCCAGGCAGGAAACATGTGACTTATCAGTAACTTTAGACATCGTAACACAATTTTAAAAGAGATTTTATTGTAGATTATACATTTTACTGATACCAATTATATCATATTTACCTTGTTTATTAAAAATAAAAATAAAAATAAAAAATATATTTTTTAAATATATATTTTTTAATTTTTTTAATTTTTAATGTGGGAAGAGGGGGGGCGGCGCCCCTAGCGCCCCTATGGGCCGGCCGCCACTGCCCATATGTTATTTTAATTTGTATTATTCTTTCTCCTGCAGTGTGTGTGGGTCGTGTCGTTCTTGGCAACTTTTTTCCTCAGCCTGCCGTACGGAGTGGCTGTCGGGGTGGGCTTCTCCATCCTGGTGGTCATATTCAAGACCCAGTTGTGAGTAAACTCCATGCAAGTAAGGGATCATGTGCAGCGAGGCGGTCATTATGGGGAAAAGAAGACCCGACTCTGCACATTATCCCACTTATTACACGGCCAGATACTGTACTAAACAAGCTAATGAGTCGACTCCCAATATTCATTTAAGTTATTTTATTGACTAAAAAATGTTCCTATTTCTTCCGCTATGAAAAAAAACTCCGTTCCACGGTGCACCAACGGCTGGAACTGCGTCAACAACAACTTTACGGTAGCACTGTCCAACTCTGTTTATAGTTTCTGATCCACAAGTCCTTAAACTCTACAGAGCCCATACCGTGTCCCTGTTAGTGTTCACTTCCTGTCTGTAGCCCATACGTGTTCCTGTTAGTGTTCACTTCCTGTCTGTAGCCCATACCGTGTTCCTGTTAGTGTTCACTTCCTGTCTGTAGCCCATACGTGTTCCTGTTAGTGTTCACTTCCTGTCTGTAGCCCATACCGTGTCCCTGTTAGTGTTCACTTCCTGTCTGTAGCCCACACCGTGTCCCTGTTAGTATTCACTTCCTGTCTGTAGCCCATACCATGTCCCTGTTAGTGTTCACTTCCTGTCTGTAGCCCATACCGTGTCCCTGTTAGTATTCATTTCCTGTCTGTAGCCCATACCGTGTTCCTAGTGTTCACTTCCTGTCTGTAGCCCATACCGTGTTCCTAGTGTTCACTTCCTGTCTGTAGCCCATACCGTGTTCCTAGTGTTCACTTCCTGTCTGTAGCCCATACCGTGTTCCTAGTGTTCACTTCCTGTCTGTAGCCCATACCGTGTTCCTAGTGTTCACTTCCTGTCTGTAGCCCATACCGTGTTTCTGTTAGTGTTCACTTCCTGTCTGTAGCCCATACCGTGTTTCTGTTAGTGTTCACTTCCTGTCTGTAGCCCATACCGTGTTTCTGTTAGTGTTCACTTCCTGTCTGTAGCCCATACCGTGTTTCTGTTAGTGTTCACTTCCTGTCTGTAGCCCATACCGTGTTCCTAGTGTTCACTTCCTGTCTGTAGCCCATACCGTGTTTCTGTTAGTGTTCACTTCCTGTCTGTAGCCCACACCGTGTCCCTGTTAGTGTTCGCTTCCTGTCTGTAGCCCACACCGTGTCCCTGTTAGTGTTCACTTCCTGTCTGTAGCCCATACCGTGTTCCTGTTAGTGTTCACTTCCTGTCTGTAGCCCATACCGTGTCCCTGTTAGTGTTCACTTCCTGTCTGTAGCCCACACCATGTTCCTGTTAGTGTTCACTTCCTGTCTGTAGCCCATACCGTGTCCCTGTTAGTGTTCACTTCCTGTCTGTAGCCCATACCGTGTCCCTGTTAGTGTTCACTTCCTGTCTGTAGCCCACACCGTGTCCCTGTTAGTGTTCACTTCCCGTCTGTAGCCCATACCGTGTCCCTGTTAGTGTTCACTTCCTGTCTGTAGCCCATACCGTGTCCCTGTTAGTGTTCACTTCCTGTCTGCCTTCTTCTGGTGATTTATCTGACGTCCAGCGCTCCGTCTTTTACCCTATTTTCCTTTTTTCCCCTTGATCCTCCTTAGCAACGGTCATTATAGTCCTTGACAGCGGTCTGTACTACTGTATTAACAACGTGTCACGTGTTCTGAATTGACCAATCAGAATCGAGTATACAACTAAGCCATGTAATAAGCTGTTTTATACGATGGCAAAAAGGTGCAAAAGTTGGTGAAGATGTTTCTTCCTCTGCATGTGTTTTGGCACATTTGTGTTTTTATATTTGCATTGTTTCTGAGGCTGCAGCGTGTTTCTCCTGATGGAAATGTGTTGTGCCATTGTAGTGTGTTTGCTCCTGTCTGACACCGTATTTTTAAACCAAAATGAAAAGCAGTAGAGTGTATATTAATGTGTTTTTTAATTTAAATGTTGTTTCTCACAGTCGTAATGGTTCTGCAGTCGCTCAGATTATGGATACAGACATCTACAAAAACCCTAAAGTGTACAGTAAGGTATGAGAACTGAATATGTTCGGTTGCTGCAAAGATAGTCTCAGAGGAATTGTGTTCAATCTTTTTGCAATATCTCCACAGGTCATTTCAATAACAGGTGTGAAAATAGTGAATTATTGCTCCCCACTCTACTTTGCAAATGCCGAAATTTTTCGTCAGAGGGTCATTAAAAAGGTGCGTTAAACAATTGACCTTCCACCTTTTTTCTGTCACTCTTTGTGAATATTTTGTGCAGTTTTTCTTATGTTTATTTTTGTTTTCAGACCGGACTGGATCCTGGAAAACTGATCCTGGCCAGGAGGAAGTTCTTGGAGAAAGAGGAGAAGGGGAAAGAGAAAGAGGAGAGGAAGGAGGCGAGGAAGAGGAAATCCAGCTCTCTGGTGACCATGAAGTCTCAGGTGGGATCACGTTTATAAAATAATTTAAACAATAATAACTCTATTCACACACAGCTCAAAGTGCTTTAACAATTTGACACAGAACAGAGAACAAACTTAGAACATAATTCAAGTCAGAGGTTAACACATGCATGCAGTATCTGATTAATACATGAAGGTAAGATAGGCAAGGAAATAAATACAATATAATAACTAAAAGTAAACTACAAATAACACAATTCGTAATAGTAGGAAAAAAGTCATACACAATTAATAAATACAGAAAAATGAAAGAAAGATATATACTTATAACATTCATAGATATAATATAATAAGGCTGTTGAGGACCTTGCACACGGACAATAGACCACAGACCAAGTTTTATTTATTATGTTATTCTCCCGTGACCTTCCTCTCTCCTCTGAACGCAGATCATCTCTCAGCTGGAGATGCAGGATGACTTTGATACGAGCAGCCCCCGCACCAGCTACGTTAACTTCCACTCTGGTGACGCCAATGTGGGGGAGCAGGATCCCCCCCCCCCCACCCTGGAGCTGAAGCCCACCCCCTTCCACACACTGATCCTGGACCTGCCAGGCGTCTGCTTCATGGACCTGACGGGCATCAACACGCTGATAAAGGTTAGAAGCGTTTACAATGAAAAATAATTGGGAAAAGATCAAAGATTCAATGGTTTTATTGTCAAATGCACAAAAGCAGAGGTGGGAAAAGTACACATTTACTCAAGTAGAAGTACAGATACTCGTGTTTAAAAATACTCTGGTAAAAGTAAAGAGGGCTTTGAAATGTACTTCAGTAAAAAGTACCCATAACTAGCAGCTGTTTTAAAGAGTACCTGACCTCCCTTTATATTAATAGAACAATAATGTCATTGTTAGCTAATGAATGTTTCCATGCTGAACAACGGCAACATGACAACGTTTTCATTGGTCCCTCTTCTTTAGAGAAGACCAGGAAATGATGGATACACGGATCGTGTTCAAATCAATAGGCACGCAATGACTCTAAATAATAATGATCACGCCACCAAACACACATTCAAACTAAAGGAACCAGCCTGTTTGGGAAATGTGAGAAGTAGAAAGTACAGGTATTTGTGTTCATCATGTAAGAAGTAGAAAGTACAGGTATTTGTGTTCAAAATGTAAGAAGTAGAAAGTACAGGTATTTGGGTTCAACATGTAAGAAGTAGAAAGTACAGGTATTTGTGTTCAACATGTAAGAAGTAGAAAGTACAGGTATTTGTGTTCAACATGTAAGAAGTAGAAAGTACAGGTATTTGTGTTCAAAATGTAAGAAGTAGAAAGTACAGGTATTTGTGTTCAACATGTAAGAAGTAGAAAGTACAGGTATTTGTGTTCAACATGTAAGAAGTAGAAAGTACAGGTATTTGGGTTCAACATGTAAGAAGTAGAAAGTACAGGTATTTGTGTTCAAAATGTAAGAAGTAGAAAGTACAGGTATTTGTGTTCAACATGTAAGAAGTAGAAAGTACAGGTATTTGTGTTCAACATGTAAGAAGTAGAAAGTACAGGTATTTGGGTTCAACATGTAAGAAGTAGAAAGTACAGGTATTTGGGTTCAACATGTAAGAAGTAGAAAGTACAGGTATTTGGGTTCAACATGTAAGAAGTAGAAAGTACAGGTATTTGTGTTCAACATGTAAGAAGTAGAAAGTACAGGTATTTGTGTTCAAAATGTAAGAAGTAGAAAGTACAGGTATTTGGGTTCAACATGTAAGAAGTAGAAAGTACAGGTATTTGTGTTCAACATGTAAGAAGTAGAAAGTACAGGTATTTGTGTTCAAAATGTGAGAAGTAGAAAGTACAGGTATTTGTGTTCAACATGTAAGAAGTAGAAAGTACAGGTATTTGTGTTCAACATGTAAGAAGTAGAAAGTACAGGTATTTGTGTTCAAAATGTAAGAAGTAGAAAGTACAGGTATTTGGGTTCAACATGTAAGAAGTAGAAAGTACAGGTATTTGTGTTCAACATGTAAGAAGTAGAAAGTACAGGTATTTGTGTTCAACATGTAAGAAGTAGAAAGTACAGGTATTTGTGTTCAAAATGTGAGAAGTAGAAAGTACAGGTATTTGTGTTCAACATGTAAGAAGTAGAAAGTACAGGTATTTGTGTTCAAAATGTAAGAAGTAGAAAGTACAGGTATTTGTGTTCAACATGTAAGAAGTAGAAAGTACAGGTATTTGTGTTCAACATGTAAGAAGTAGAAAGTACAGGTATTTGTGTTCAACATGTAAGAAGTAGAAAGTACAGGTATTTGTGTTCAACATGTAAGAAGTAGAAAGTACAGGTATTTGTGTTCAAAATGTAAGAAGTAGAAAGTACAGGTATTTGTGTTCAAAATGTAAGAAGTAGAAAGTACTCGTATTTGTGTTCAACATGTAAGAAGTAGAAAGTACAGGTATTTGTGTTCAACATGTAAGAAGTAGAAAGTACAGGTATTTGTGTTCAACATGTAAGAAGTAGAAAGTACAGGTATTTGTGTTCAACATGTAAGAAGTAGAAAGTACAGGTATTTGAGTTCAACATGTAAGAAGTAGAAAGTACAGGTATTTGTGTTCAACATGTAAGAAGTAGAAAGTACAGGTATTTGTGTTCAACATGTAAGAAGTAGAAAGTACAGGTATTTGTGTTCAAAATGTAAGAAGTAGAAAGTACAGGTATTTGTGTTCAACATGTAAGAAGTAGAAAGTACAGGTATTTGTGTTCAACATGTAAGAAGTAGAAAGTACAGGTATTTGTGTTCAACATGTAAGAAGGAGAAAATACAGGTATTTGTGTTCAACATGTAAGAAGGAGAAAATACAGGTATTTGTGTTCAAAATGTAAGAAGTAGAAAGTACAGGTATTTGTGTTCAACATGTAAGAAGTAGAAAGTACAGGTATTTGAGTTCAACATGTAAGAAGTAGAAAGTACAGGTATTTATGTTCAAAATGTAAGAAGTAGAAAGTACAGGTATTTATGTTCAAAATGTAAGAAGTAGAAAGTACAGGTATTTGTGTTCAACATGTAAGAAGTAGAAAGTACAGGTATTTGTGTTCAACATGTAAGAAGTAGAAAGTACAGGTATTTGTGTTCAACATGTAAGAAGTAGAAAGTACAGGTATTTGTGTTCAACATGTAAGAAGTAGAAAGTACAGGTATTTGTGTTCAACATGTAAGAAGTAGAAAGTACAGGTATTTGTGTTCAACATGTAAGAAGTAGAAAGTACAGGTATTTGTGTTCAACATGTAAGAAGTAGAAAGTACAGGTATTTGTGTTCAAAATGTAAGAAGTAGAAAGTACAGGTATTTGTGTTCAACATGTAAGAAGTAGAAAGTACAGGTATTTGTGTTCAAAATGTAAGAAGTAGAAAGTACAGGTATTTGTGTTCAACATGTAAGAAGTAGAAAGTACAGGTATTTGTGTTCAACATGTAAGAAGTAGAAAGTACAGGTATTTGTGTTCAACATGTAAGAAGTAGAAAGTACAGGTATTTGTGTTCAACATGTAAGAAGTAGAAAGTACAGGTATTTGTGTTCAAAATGTGAGAAGTAGAAAGTACAGGTATTTGTGTTCAACATGTAAGAAGTAGAAAGTACAGGTATTTGTGTTCAACATGTAAGAAGTAGAAAGTACAGGTATTTGTGTTCAACATGTAAGAAGTAGAAAGTACAGGTATTTGTGTTCAACATGTAAGAAGTAGAAAGTACAGGTATTTGTGTTCAACATGTAAGAAGTAGAAAGTACAGGTATTTGTGTTCAACATGTAAGAAGTAGAAAGTACAGGTATTTGTGTTCAAAATGTGAGAAGTAGAAAGTACAGGTATTTGGGTTCAACATGTAAGAAGTAGAAAGTACAGGTATTTGTGTTCAACATGTAAGAAGTAGAAAGTACAGGTATTTGGGTTCAACATGTAAGAAGTAGAAAGTACAGGTATTTGTGTTCAACATGTAAGAAGTAGAAAGTACAGGTATTTGTGTTCAACATGTAAGAAGTAGAAAGTACAGGTATTTGTGTTCAACATGTAAGAAGTAGAAAGTACAGGTATTTGTGTTCAAAATGTAAGAAGTAGAAAGTACAGGTATTTGTGTTCAACATGTAAGAAGTAGAAAGTACAGGTATTTGTGTTCAAAATGTAAGAAGTAGAAAGTACAGGTATTTGTGTTCAACATGTAAGAAGTAGAAAGTACAGGTATTTGTGTTCAACATGTAAGAAGTAGAAAGTACAGGTATTTGTGTTCAACATGTAAGAAGTAGAAAGTACAGGTATTTGTGTTCAACATGTAAGAAGTAGAAAGTACAGGTATTTGTGTTCAAAATGTGAGAAGTAGAAAGTACAGGTATTTGTGTTCAACATGTAAGAAGTAGAAAGTACAGGTATTTGTGTTCAACATGTAAGAAGTAGAAAGTACAGGTATTTGTGTTCAACATGTAAGAAGTAGAAAGTACAGGTATTTGTGTTCAAAATGTAAGAAGTAGAAAGTACAGGTATTTGTGTTCAACATGTAAGAAGTAGAAAGTACAGGTATTTGTGTTCAACATGTAAGAAGGAGAAAATACAGGTATTTGTGTTCAACATGTAAGAAGGAGAAAATACAGGTATTTGTGTTCAAAATGTAAGAAGTAGAAAGTACAGGTATTTGTGTTCAACATGTAAGAAGTAGAAAGTACAGGTATTTGAGTTCAACATGTAAGAAGTAGAAAGTACAGGTATTTATGTTCAAAATGTAAGAAGTAGAAAGTACAGGTATTTATGTTCAAAATGTAAGAAGTAGAAAGTACAGGTATTTGTGTTCAACATGTAAGAAGTAGAAAGTACAGGTATTTGTGTTCAACATGTAAGAAGTAGAAAGTACAGGTATTTGTGTTCAACATGTAAGAAGTAGAAAGTACAGGTATTTGTGTTCAACATGTAAGAAGTAGAAAGTACAGGTATTTGTGTTCAACATGTAAGAAGTAGAAAGTACAGGTATTTGTGTTCAACATGTAAGAAGTAGAAAGTACAGGTATTTGTGTTCAAAATGTAAGAAGTAGAAAGTACAGGTATTTGTGTTCAACATGTAAGAAGTAGAAAGTACAGGTATTTGTGTTCAACATGTAAGAAGTAGAAAGTACAGGTATTTGTGTTCAACATGTAAGAAGTAGAAAGTACAGGTATTTGTGTTCAACATGTAAGAAGTAGAAAGTACAGGTATTTGTGTTCAAAATGAGAGAAGTAGAAAGTACAGGTATTTGTGTTCAAAATGTAGAGAAGTAGAAAGTACAGGTATTTGTGTTCAAAATGTAAGAAGTAGAAAGTACAGGTATTTGTGTTCAACATGTAAGAAGTAGAAAGTACAGGTATTTGTGTTCAACATGTAAGAAGTAGAAAGTACAGGTATTTGTGTTCAAAATGAGAGAAGTAGAAAGTACAGGTATTTGTGTTCAAAATGTAAGAAGTAGAAAGTACAGGTATTTGTGTTCAACATGTAAGAAGTAGAAAGTACAGGTATTTGTGTTCAACATGTAAGAAGTAGAAAGTACAGGTATTTGTGTTCAACATGTAAGAAGTAGAAGTACAGGTATTTGTGTTCAACATGTAAGAAGTAGAAAGTACAGGTATTTGTGTTCAAAATGTAAGAAGTAGAAAGTGCAGGTATTTGTGTTCAACATGTAAGAAGTAGAAAGTACAGGTATTTGTGTTCAACATGTAAGAAGTAGAAAGTACAGGTATTTGTGTTCAACATGTAAGAAGTAGAAAGTACAGGTATTTGTGTTCAAAATGTAAGAAGTAGAAAGTACAGGTATTTGTGTTCAACATGTAAGAAGTAGAAAGTACACGTATTTGTGTTCAAAATGCAAGAAGTAGAAAGTACAGGTATTTGGGTTCAACATGTAAGAAGTAGAAAGTACAGGTATTTGTGTTCAACATGTAAGAAGTAGAAAGTACAGGTATTTGTGTTCAACATGTAAGAAGTAGAAAGTACAGGTATTTGTGTTCAAAATGTAAGAAGTAGAAAGTACAGGTATTTGTGTTCAAAATGTAAGAAGTAGAAAGTAAAAAGTTGTCAGAAAAATAAGTAGTGGAGTAAAGTACTGATAGCAGAAAAATGTACTTGAGTACAGTAACAAAGTATTTGTACTCCACTACTTCCCATCTCTGTACATAAGCTACAGTGTAGAAATGGCAATGAAATTCTTCTGATCTGAACTCCTCCAACAATGCAATTTATATAATAAAATACAAAAATAGAAATTAGTGCAAGAAGGCATGTAAATAGATTATGATATGTACAAGAACAGAATATGAAATTAAATAATGTACATTAAGACAAAATTAAATACGGTTGATTCATTCATTGCTATTTTCTAATTATTAATATCTACGCTGAAATTACTCTGATTTCTTTCAATATGTTCACCCATATTACACCTTTATTACACCCTTAAATGCTATCATTTTTAAGTGAGTGTACGAAAATGCTAGTTATTCCAACACTCTCCTTTCCTTTATTCCCCTCCCAGATGAACTCCAGCTACACGACGCTGGGCATTAAACTGTACCTGGCTAACGTTCAAGGTAAGATCTTATTTAAATGTACTCAGGAGAATTTCACAGTTGTTTGCAAAGAAACAGAGATGTAATCATTCATTCAACAAGAAGTGTTAAGGTCTGAAGGACACTGAGATTAAGTAAACTCTTATCATACAACGACGTACGTGCCTGCTTTGGGTAAATACTCTGTGGTGATACACAGTTTGAGATAAAAGCCTTTGTTTCACTCTGTTTAAAGGTCACCTATTGTGCAAAATGTCTTTTCTACATCAACATGTGTCCCCTCTTCTTCATGTCTCTTCTACATCAACATGTGTCCCCTCTTCTTCATGTCTCTTCTACATCAACATGTGTCCCCTCTTCTTCATGTCTCTTCTACATCAACATGTGTCCCCTCTTCTTCATGTCTCTTCTACATCAACATGTGTCCCCTCTTCTTCATGTCTCTTCTACATCAACACGTGTCCCCTCTTCTTCATGTCTCTTCTACATCAACATGTGTCCCCTCTTCTTCATGTCTCTTCTACATCAACATGTGTCCCCCCTTTTTCATGTCTCTTCTACATCACCATGTGTCCCCTCTTCTTTATGTCTCTTCTACATCAACATGTGTCCCCTCTTCTTCATGTCTCTTCTACATCAACATGTGTCCCCTCTTCTTCATGTCTCTTCTACATCAACATGTGTCCCCTCTTCTTTATGTCTCTTCTACATCAACATGTGTCCCCTCTTCTTCATGTCTCTTCTACATCAACATGTGTCCCCTCTTCTTCATGTCTCTTCTACATCAACATGTGTCCCCTCTTCTCCATGTCTCTTCTACATCAACATGTGTCCCCTCTTCTTCATGTCTCTTCTACATCAACATGTGTCCCCTCTTCTTCATGTCTCTTCTACATCAACATGTGTCCCTTATTCTTCGTGTCTCTTCTACATCAACATGTGTCCCCTCTTCTTCATGTCTCTTGTACATCAACATGTGTCCCCTCTTCTTCGTGTCTCTTCTACATCAACATGTGTCCCCTCTTCTTCGTGTCTCTTCTACATCAACATGTGTCCCCTCTTCTTCGTGTCTCTTCTACATCAACATGTGTCCCCTCTTCTTCATGTCTCTTCTACATCAACATGTGTCCCCTCTTCTTCGTGTCTCTTCTACATCAACATGTGTCCCCTCTTATTCATGTCTCTTCTACATCAACATGTGTCCATTCTTCTTCATGTCTCTTCTACATCAACATGTGTCCCCTCTTCTTCATGTCTCTTCTACATCAACATGTGTCCCCTCTTCTTCATGTCTCTTCTACATCAACATGTGTCCCTTATTCTTCATGTCTCTTCTACATCAACATATGTCCCCTCTTCTTCGTGTCTCTTCTACATCAACATGTGTCCCCTCTTCTTCGTGTCTCTTCTACATCAACATGTGTCCCCTCTTCTTTATGTCTCTTCTACATCAACATGTGTCCCTTCTTCTTCATGTCTCTTCTACATCAACATGTGTCCCCTCTTCTTCATGTCTCTTCTACATCAACATGTGTCCCTTATTCTTCATGTCTCTTCTACATCAACATGTGTCCCCTCTTCTTCGTATCTCTTCTACATCAACATGTGTCCCCTCTTCTTCGTGTCTCTTCTACATCAACATGTGTCCCCTCTTCTTCATGTCTCTTCTACATCAACATGTGTCCCTTATTCTTCATGTCTCTTCTACATCAACATGTGTCCCCTCTTCTTCGTGTCTCTTCTACATCAACATGTGTCCCCTCTTCTTCGTGTCTCTTCTACATCAACATGTGTCCCCTCTTCTTCATGTCTCTTCTACATCAACATGTGTCCCCTCTTCTTCGTGTCTCTTCTACATCAACATGTGTCCCCTCTTCTTCATGTCTCTTCTACATCAACATGTGTCCCCTCTTCTTCATGTCTCTTCTACATCAACATGTGTCCCTTCTTCTTCATGTCTCTTCTACATCAACATGTGTCCCCTCTTCTTCATGTCTCTTCTACATCAACATGTGTCCCCTCTTCTTCATGTCTCTTCTACATCAACATGTGTCCCTTATTCTTCATGTCTCTTCTACATCAACATGTGTCCCCTCTTCTTCGTGTCTCTTCTACATCAACATGTGTCCCCTCTTCTTCGTGTCTCTTCTACATCAACATGTGTCCCCTCTTCTTCGTGTCTCTTCTACATCAACATGTGTCCCCTCTTCTTCATGTCTCCTCTACATCAACATGTGTCCCCTCTTCTTCGTGTCTCTTCTACATCAACATGTGTCCCCTCTTCTTCGTGTCTCTTCTACATCAACATGTGTCCCCTCTTCTTCATGTCTCCTCTACATCAACATGTGTCCCCTCTTCTTCATGTCTCTTCTACATCAACATGTGTCCCCTCTTCTTCGTGTCTCTTCTACATCAACATGTGTCCCCTCTTCTTCATGTCTCTTCTACATCAACATGTGTCCCCTCTTCTTCATGTCTCCTCTACATCAACATGTGTCCCCTCTTCTTCGTGTCTCTTCTACATCAACATGTGTCCCCTCTTCTTCGTGTCTCTTCTACATCAACATGTGTCCCCTCTTCTTCATGTCTCTTCTACATCAACATGTGTCCCCTCTTCTTCATGTCTCCTCTACATCAACATGTGTCCCCTCTTCTTCATGTCTCTTCTTCATCAACATGTGTCCCCTCTTCTTCATGTCTCTTCTACATCAACATGTGTCCCCTCTTCTTCATGTCTCTTCTACATCAACATGTGTCCCCTCTTCTTCATGTCTCTTCTACATCAACATGTTTCCCCTCTTCTTCATGTCTCTTCTACATCAACATGTGTCCCCTCTTCTTCATGTCTCTTCTACATCAACATGTGTCCCCTCTTCTTCATGTCTCTTCTACATCAACATGTGTCCCCTCTTCTTCGTGTCTCTTCTACATCAACATGTGTCCCCTCTTCTTCATGTCTCTTCTTCATCGACATGTGTCCCCTCTTCTTCATGTCTCTTCTTCATCGACATGTGTCCCCTCTTCTTCATGTCTCTTCTTCATCGACATGTGTCCCCTCTTCTTCATGTCTCTTCTTCATCGACATGTGTCCCCTCTTCTTCATGTCTCTTCTTAATCAACATGTGTCCCCTCTTCTTCATGTCTCTTCTTCATCGACATGTGTCCCCTCTTCTTCATGTCTCTTCTTCATCGACATGTGTCCCCTCTTCTTCATGTCTCTTCTTCATCGACATGTGTCCCCTCTTCTTCATGTCTCTTCTACATCAACATGTGTCCCCTCTTCTTCATGTCTCCTCTACATCAACATGTGTCCCCTCTTCTTCATGTCTCTTCTACATCAACATGTGTCCCCTCTTCTTCATGTCTCTTCTACATCAACATGTGTCCCCTCTTCTTCATGTCTCTTCTACATCAACATGTGTCCCCTCTTCTTCATGTCTCTTCTACATCAACATGTGTCCCCTCTTCTCCATGTCTCTTCTACATCAACATGTGTCCCCTCTTCTTCATGTCTATTCTACATCAACATGTGTCCCCTCTTCTTCATGTCTCTTCTACATCAACATGTGTCCCCTCTTCTTCATGTCTCTTCTACATCAACATGTGTCCCCTCTTCTTCATGTCTCTTCTACATCAACATGTGTCCCCTCTTCTTCGTGTCTCTTCTACATCAACATGTGTCCCCTCTTCTTCGTGTCTCTTCTACATCAACATGTGTCCCCTCTTCTTCATGTCTCTTCTTAATCGACATGTGTCCCCTCTTCTTCATGTCTCTTCTTCATCGACATGTGTCCCCTCTTCTTCATGTCTCTTCTTCATCGACATGTGTCCCCTCTTCTTCATGTCTCTTCTTCATCGACATGTGTCCCCTCTTCTTCATGTCTCTTCTACATCGACATGTGTCCCCTCTTCTTCATGTCTCTTCTACATCAACATGTGTCCCCTCTTCTTCATGTCTCTTCTACATCAACATGTGTCCCCTCTTCTTCATGTCTCTTCTACATCAACATGTGTCCCCTCTTCTTCATGTCTCTTCTACATCAACATGTGTCCCCTCTTCTTCATGTCTCTTCTACATCAACATGTGTCCCCTCTTCTTCGTGTCTCTTCTACATCAACATGTGTCCCCTCTTCTTCATGTCTCTTCTTAATCAACATGTGTCCCCTCTTCTTCATGTCTCTTCTACATCAACATGTGTCCCCTCTTCTTCATGTCTCTTCTACATCAACATGTGTCCCCTCTTCTTCATGTCTCTTCTACATCAACATGTGTCCCCTCTTCTTCATGTCTCTTCTACATCAACATGTGTCCCCTCTTCTTCATGTCTCTTCTACATCAACATGTGTCCCCTCTTCTCCATGTCTCTTCTACATCAACATGTGTCCCCTCTTCTTCATGTCTCTTCTTCATCACCATATGTCCCCTCTTCTCCATGTCTCTTCTACATCAACATGTGTCCCCTCTTCTTCATGTCTCTTCTACATCAACATGTGTCCCCTCTTCTTCATGTCTCTTCTTCATCAACATGTGTCCCCTCTTCTTCACGTCTCTTCTACATCAACATGTGTCCCCTCTTCCTCATGTCTCTTCTACATCAACATGTGTCCCCTCTTCTTCATGTCTCTTCTACATCAACATGTGTCCCCTCTTCTTCATGTCTCTTCTACATCAACATGTGTCCCCTCTGTGTAAAGAGACTCTGAAAGTTTCAGGAACAAAGATTCTCTCTCTTTTTGTCCTGATCCATTTATATAAAAACCTGTCTGAAAATGAGCTGATCAGATTTTGGCCACTTTATGATGTCATAACGATGTTTTGGCTTGGTAACCATTAGCCAATCAGCAACCAAGGTAAACCCCCCCCACCTTATCACCTGAATCTCCTCCTAGAGCACCATTGAGTTCTTTGTAACCAAATCTCTCTCAGAGGGGCGTGGGGAGTGGCTCCTTATTTTTCATCTAAAGTAACAGACAGAGAATCAGCACTTTTGAAACAGGGCTGAAACAGAGGGGATTATGGGATGCTGCAATGATCTGTTTGGTGTTTCAGCCAATCAGAGACAGGCTCTGTATATATCTGAGACCTGTGATATATTGATGAAAAACAGTATAATAGGGGACCTTTAAATCTTCCTGTGATATGTGTTGTCTTGCAGCTCAGGTGTATGAGGAGCTGGAGACCGGAGGAGCGTTTGATGACGGGAATATTTCCCGCAGTAATCTCTTCCTCTCCGTCCACGATGCCGTTGTGTTTGCTCAGCAGAGCTCAGCAGAGAGGAGGGTCTCCCTGGAGGTAAATAAATAAATAACTTTATCATACAAATTCTTCTTCAGAGTTTCACTCAAACATACATTATAATGTTAGTGAAACAGACATAGACATATTTATTCACAAAGTATTTTGACTCCACTACTTCACACACAATTCTTCTGACCTGAGCTCCTCCAACAATGCAACATATAATAAAACAATTGTGCAAGAAGTCTATATACATGTAAATAGAATATGATATGTACAAGAACAGAATATTAAATTAAATAATGTACATTAAGACAACATTTTATACGGTTAATTAATTACTATGTTCTAATTATTAATATCTACGCTAAAATGACTGTGATTTCTTTCAATATGTTCACCCATATTACACATTTATTACACCCTTACATCTTGTAATTTAAGTGTGAGTGTCAGACATAGACATATTTATTCACAAAGTACCAAATTCCTCTTTTAGCACAGCTTTTATCACCCTCTCTGTTTCAACGAAGGGTTAACAGAAACATCACACAGGATTTTGTAAGAGCAAACTAAATAACTCCAAGGTCAGGCTGCATATGAAATGCTGTGTGCCTGATGGAAATACAGGAAATGCATCATCTTCTGTTTGACTTTAAATATGTACGTGTACGTGCGCTGTGTTTGCTGCAGGAACTCTCCTCTAACATTAATGTGGAGAAGGATCTGGAGCAGGTAGGCACTTTCAAATACAAGCTGAAAGAATTCACAGCAAAACCTTTCCTCTTTATCTAATATTATTTTACTTTTACAGGAAATGTTTGAGCTGCAGTGAAGATGAGCAGAAGAAGATAGCAAACATGTTTTTAATGTCACTTTGATAAATAAAAAATTGTTGCTGACAACTCTGTATTGAATATCCATAATTTAATTAAAATGGTAAACGTCGAGGCTGTGCTCTGTGGCGTCAGTAAGCCCAAGTTGATTTCTTGCTATTAATCAGACATACTTAGGATATAGGAAGCCATAGGAAGGAAATATCTTGAGGAATAGTTAGAATTAAAAAAAAAGTTTGTTTGCTTAGAATTCTGATAAAAAGAGTCAGAAATCTAAGAATATAATCAACATCTGAGAAAAAAGTCAGAATCTGAGAACATCTGAAATCCGAGAAAAATGTCAAAATCTGAGAAAAAGGTAAAACTGTGAGATTAGTCAGGTTTCAGTGAAAAAATAAATCTAGAAAAGTTGGAAATAGTTTGGAAAAAAATCAAATTCTGAGAAAAACAAATAAATCTTAGAAAGAAGTCAGAAATCAGAATTTTGAGAAAAAAGTCAAAATCTTAGAAAAAGTCAGAGAAGAAATTCAAAATGTTAGAAAAAAATCTGGGACAAGTCAGATTCCTGAATTTTGAGAAAAATAGTCCAATTCGGAGAAAACAATTTTAAAAGTCAGGTTTCTGAGAAAAAATTCTAAATCTGAGAAAAAGTCCAAATAAAAGAAAAAAGTCCAAGTTTGTAAAACAAAAATCTTTTTTGACTTTAATCTCAGATCTCAATAAAAAAGAAATTCAGATGTGGCTCTAATCTCCTGGATCACACCGGGTTTTATTCTTTGTGAAAATGAATCCTCTGCAACCCATTCCTGTAAAGTATAGTCCTGAAATCACCGGTTTATTTTGTATTCATCTGGTAAACCTCCCACTGCCCTCTTCAGTTTGCATCTCAACTGCTCAGTGATCAGTACTGGACTCCACTGACAGGGGGCGCTACACACCAGCACAACACACCCCGAAAACAGGTGAAAATTCAGGTTTCAGAATTTTGAGGGAAAAAGTCAAATTCTGTGAAAAATCTCAGAAAAGGTCAAAATATGAGAAAAATTTCTTCTTTTTTTATTAGATTTCTGACTTTAATCTCAGATCTCAATAAGAAAATCACTTCTGGTCAGTTCTAAAAAAAGAAATTTAGATGTGGCTCTAATCTCCAGTATCACACACAGGGTTTTATTCTTTGTGAAAATGAATTCTCTGCAACCCATTCCTGTAAAGTATAGTCCTGAAATCACCGGTTTATTTTTTATTCAACTGCTCAGTGATCAGTACTGAACTCCACTGACAGGGGGCGCTACACACCAGCACAACACACCCCGAAAACAAGTGAGCAGATAATGAGGGGAGCCCACTCCTCACAATATCTGCTGACTACAGTCATACTCAAGCTGCTGCAATTAAGACACGAGACACAGCTGTGAGCCAGATGCGTCCCAGCGGAGGGGAAACACTAAATAAAAGCAGGAAACACAACATCAGCACTTAGTAAACTCTGTGAGAAGCACAATCTGTAGTTTCCTGCCACTATGGGAGAGGCAGGGCGATGAAACTACAGTAGTGAAAGCTTATAGAGAGGCGAAGTCCCGCCCATCTACTTCCGACCCATGGGACCTTATTTCGGAAAAATTATGTATTGAAGTCAATGGAGAGAGAAAACGTATCCTTCGATCCCGTTTGAATTGTGCCATGAATTACACATGTGATGTTTGTCAATCTTAAAAAATAATTTCCATGTCAAAAAAGTCAGTTTGTCGTAAAACTGTTGAAATATAAGACTATGAAAAATACGCAACTAGAAAGACTACAAATCCCAGAGTCGCATAAGTGAGCACGTTAGTTAGCATTACAGCCTTGTCATTTGTATTAGCCTTAACATGAAGTAACATTAAGTAACCCAAAGTGTTAAACAGTAGAGTAGTAGTCATATTTCGTGAACCCTTTCAAGAGTACTGTCACACTGGTGTGATCATTCTATAATACACCGTTTAAGCCCGGATGCCCCCGGGGAGACATGCTAACGCTACATTAGCATCGGCGATCTTTTCTACTTTATGCTATCTGCACAAATGGTTAACATTGAACATTAAAAATATCAGGCAGTTCAGGGAGAATCGAAGGAAGGCAGGCAGGCAGCTTTGCATGACATTCTTCTGGACGTGTTTCATTGTGGTGATAGTGAGGGTAGTCAATCCCTTGTTTGGTAAGCCAGTAGTGACGGCCATCTTGGTGACGTGTGTTGTTGTGCGAGACCAGAGATGTAGTTCATTGAGCGGTTTCACACAAAAAAAATGTATTACTTCACAGTTTTACGGCAAAACATTTTTTTTTGTAACTTGCAAAATGATCTCTTAAATTGACAAACATCATATGTGTAATTCGTGGCACAATTCAAACGGGATCGAAAGATAATCTTTCTCTCTCCATTGACTTCAATACATTATTTTTCCGAAATAAGGTCCCATGGTGGTCACCGGAAAGGGAGGGACTTCGCCTCTCTATTTTTTGGTTGTGCAGCGTGGCATCATGGGAGTTGTAGTCTTCAGCTTCGCCTGGTTACGATTCCTTCTGTGTTCAGGAGATCTTTAGCGTCTCCTCCTCTCCTCTGATATAAAGCAGTACAAACAGTGAACAAGATATAACATTAGTGATGTTTGCTCAATAATGCATGAATAATATAGTATTCTGCATAATTATTACCTTATACCTTTGGTACTTTGTATACATTTTGATGGTAATCCCTTTTAAATCTTCTATTTATATGTCTCCATGCTTTAAAGGGGACCTATCATGCAAAATGCACTTTTTGATGTCTTCTCTACATCAACATGTGTCCCCGGTGTGTCGGGGAACTCACGCAGCGTCAGAAAATAAAACCCTCTCTCTTTTCCTCCGTACCCACATCTTTTAAAAACGGTGGTACAACGAGCGGATACAGATTTGCTGGCGATATGACGTCATTTCGGATGGTGGACCCACAGAGAGTTGCTTTCAGAAACAATGCCTGACGTGTTTTGGACGTAATATGATCTGTGTTTACATTAGCATCGCTAACACTCAGAGCTAACCTGTACTGGAGAGCACATGTGTTTTAAAAAGCAGGAAATAAAAAAAGGAACTCACCTTGTGATAAACCCGCAAGAGAAAAAGCATTTGAGCTCCATACTGTTTCAGAAATAATCCTTGATGTGGTTTAGAACAGGATGGCGTTTTATCACAGCAGAATTTAACTTTATCTCCGGTATAATTCTGAGCAGGCATTAGCTCCGCCTCCTCTTTTTTTTTTTTTTTTTAAAGCTAAGGACCCAAAATCCGTGTTTCTCTAAACAGGGCTGGAATAGAGGGGTTTGAGGGATTTCTAAAATGCATGATCTGTTTGTATTTCAAGAAAAACACATAGACATGTTTTTATATATTTGTATATATCTGAGACCCATAACATATGCCTAAAAATAGCATGATAGGTGACCTTTAATGTTCAAAAAGCTCTTTATTTTTCTCATACTGCCTGTGCTGCAGCACCTCTTTTCACCCTCTGTCTGAAACCAGAGCCCAGTCTGCTCTGATTGGTTAGCTGGCCGGCTCTGTTATGATTGGTCAACCACTTAGAGATGTCCCGCCCCTTAGCCTTATCAGGTACAATGTGTTGGATCGCTAGCCAATAGGAGCGCGAGTGTCATGTGGTGATGTCACTTTGTTCCGGAAGTAAACAAAGGAGTCTAACGGGCCGTCTCCACAGCAGCGTTAAAAAATCTTGAAACGCTTCTGCCCATTCACTTTGAATGGGGTGACGTCACTTTCCCTCACTTTTCGCCGAAATGCATTGTGGGCAGGCGAGCGGAGATTCTCAGGATTTTCAAGATTCAAAGTTGAACAATGTTCAACTTTTGAAGCTGAGGTGGAAGCGGCAGCCAATCAAATCCCGTGTACGCAAATCTGGCAGTTCAAGCTCTAGCCAATCAAACGGCGTGTATGCTGGGAGAGACATACCGCAGGTCATTTCCTCATATTCCAAAAAATGGAGGAGAAATTAGCGGTAGCGAATCAATCACCCGGTGCTTTATGACCAGACCTACCGGGATATAAACCGGAGGAGCCAGGCATGGAGGGAGGTGGCAGAGACAGTGGTATGTTTTCGCCTGTTTTGGGGAGTTTATATCCAGTTTACTTCGGGCTTTTTGGCTTCGTATGTCGCGGGCGGGAGATTCATGTGATTGGTTGATCGCAAAAAAATCCCCAAGCCTCAGATACGCCCACCTCCAAGATTTTTTTAACGCTGCTGTGGAGACGGTCCGTAACAGAGGCAAACTTGAACACCTACAATTGAGGAATTCTGCCTATGAGAATTCAGGCAATAAGACTGTTAAACACCTGAACTGTTGAAACAACATCCACAATATTCATCTGGCTGCTACTTAAAAAGTATTGATCTATGTACCTAATATATCATATTTCAATGACTTGCATATAGACTCTTATTGCACTATTTCACTATTTCACTTTTTTAAACTATTTTTCTTCTTGTATTTACTATTTACTTGCACTATATTTTTCTGTTTATCTGTGTTTTGTGTTGCTCTGTTGGAGAAGCCTGTGACACAAGATTTTCAACGACATAACTACGCTGTAGCTATGTTCGTTTGACAAATAAAGAACCTTGAACCTTCAGATTATCAGCTAATACAAAAATATCCATCCATCCATCTTCTCCCGCTTATCCGTGGTCGGGTCGGAGGTAGCAGTTCCAGCAGAGAGGCCCAAACTTTCCTTTCCCTGGCCACAACAACCAGCTCTGATTTAAGAAACAGTCTTGATATGAATAACCAAATTTGAGGGTTCAAAACTGTAGTCCACAAACCAATGGGTGACATCACAGTCTTCTTCTATGGTGCCAACACTTTTGTTATCAGCCCTCATTACATTCAACGCTACCACTTTTATCCCTTTTCATTTATCTTACTAATTTAATTTGACCTTCTTTGTTGTGCAGAATAATTGCCCCTTATTATTATCTTTAGGTAGACTACACCCCCTCCTCCATTCTCTCTGGAGGTCAAACTGAGATTACAC